TACGCCTATATCATTAATGAAAACAAGAAAAAGGAGAGGCCCTAGTATAGATCCTTGTGGTACACCTGCTTTAACGAACGCCCAGTCAGATAATTTGCCGTTTAAGGAGACTCGCTGTTTACGATTTTCAAGATAACTTTTGAACCAGGATAATAGTTTCCCGCTTATACCGAAACTGGATAGTTTGACTAGTAGGCCGCGGTGCCATACTCTGTCAAAGGCCTTGCTTATGTCGCAAAAGACCATTCTAATTTCTTTACCGGAATCAAGAGCTTGGTCAACATCATGAGTTATTTTAAGGAGCTGATTCACAGTGGAGTCGCCAGACCGAAAGCCTGATTGATGAGAGGACAGAAGTGAATGGTCTAAGAAATAGTTATGAATATACTTATAGAAACATCTTTCGAAAAGTTTAGAGACGACGGATAAAAGAGATATTGGACGGTAGTTGCAAGGCAAAGAGGGGTCACCTTTTTATAGATAGGGGAAACACAAGCTTTTTTCCACTCACAGGGGAAAATTGATTTAGAAAGAGAGATATTGAAAATCATACAAAGAGGAATACAAAGTATATCAACTGCTTCTTTTAACAAGCGAGGGTTAATCAGGTCAGGACCTATTGCCTTAGAACAGTCTAATGTAAGGATAATCCCTTTGATATCTTCAGATGTAATTATTATTTCAGATAAGCTACACCTGTGAGTGTTAGCTAGAGTTGGAGTTTCGACATTAGAAAACAGGCTTTATTTTGACGTATGTAATCTGACGAACAAACATCTTATTTTTACGTACAAAGATACATTCGACCTACATAGACAGTTTATATGATATTAAAAAAAATATAAGTCACGTGATTGACTCGTAGTTTCTTTGTTTTATTTTTAGAACACACAAGAATCTAAATCAGACATGTACCGTAGTTCGTCCCTTTAAATAATTTATTTTCAAAATGCTCCTAAAAACTGGACTTCATTAAGCATTCATATTTCTACCACCTATATATAAGAAAGTCACCTACATTTTCATGCGAAATACGAAATAACACTATTGTGACGTCACAAATATTGGCCATCCATGAACGGTGTCTTCTGTTGAGATACCTACAGTACCAATGTCCCTAAACATTATACAGTGTAACATTACCATTTCATTAGTTTGTCAATCGCGTCTAAATTTACTTCTTTTGCAAAATCGAAATAAGTGTGAATTTTTTAGAGTAACAAGATAAAAAAAAGTCTTGTAGTGTTTAAAATGAGTTTTGCTGTCGTAATAGATGTGTACGGCGATATATTCATCTAATGTATGCTTAATTTGTTAGAGTTTTATCTAGATAAAATAGAAATGTCCACATCCATGTAGTCCCTGTAGCTGACATAGTCACATATCTACATTTACACGACAAAGTCACAATATTAAAACCTGCTGTAAAGTTGTGTGACTTGTTTCAATAGCCCCTACCACCTCACAAACTTCTGTCATTTATACCGTCTATAAATACCATTACAAGACAAGTCATTATTTAAATGTAGATACACTGTCAAGTACAGTACAAAGGCCGACATTAGTACATGTATATCGCACACATGAACCCAGTCTAACCATTTTTTTATGACGGAAACATTCTTATCACAAGATATTTCCGATGTGACTTTCCAAGAACAACACCTGTAAACACAGGAGCGATTGGACGCTAACAAAAGCTGGTGGGCGTTACCGGTCACAAAAGTTCCAAAGAAAATACAATTTTTATTGCTCAAACATGTTAATGAAATCATATTGCTATCAAAGTATTCCAATACAAGCTATAGTAAAAATTCTCCCATTCCCAGTGGTGATAGGTGAGATTCTAGGGTAATAAAATTCCTAATTTTGGCAATGTTCCTTAAACACTCCCCATTCATGTAGTCACGCTGATCTTAGATGACCATGGGGCCAGACAGATGCAATATGTGCATACCATCAAACGGCCATACCTTACTTATAATTCTTTTGGGAATGGACCCAAAAATACAAAACAATGTTATGGCCTATAGACATTGTATTGATTGAACACATCCCCTCCACAAATGTGAAATCCTGGGGTCATGCAATTATCAATAACAGTAAAGTCCTTAAGTTTTTTCTGTAATGAGGATTATTTGATTTTTTTTTTTTTTTTTTTTTTGTAATTCTTTTATTTTTTGACAAGTTTTTACATATTACACAATACACAATATACAAGAGAAACCACACAAAACATACACACACACTCTCACACTTGCGTGCTCTTACTTGAATATGTCTTACACATATACATGCATCATCATCATCATCATCATCATCATCATCATCATCATCATCATCATCATCATCATCATCGCCATCATCATCATCACCATCATCATCATCACCATCACCATCATCATCACCATCATCATCTTTATCATCATAATCATCATCATCATCATCATCATCATCATCATCATCATCATCATCATCATCTTATCATCATCATCATGCACATGTATCTTATTTGATTCTGTCATAAATGGGTCTTTAACAGACGATTTTTTCATTTCTTTAAACTTGACCTGTTTGGTCTCGCCCTCAGGCCCCTGGGTGTTGCGAACCCTCTAATTCACAATTTTGATTTACATGTTCATTTGGCTATGAATTTAATTTGGTTCAAAAAGTTCTTTAGTACATCAGGGACAGACGACGGACGACGGCAGACAAAAAGCGACTGTAATGACTCAGACGACATAAAAATCGAACTGCCCAGGAACGACTATTGAAGTTGGAGCCGCCCCCCCCACCCAACCTCAACGCCATACGTTTTAGAAGGTATGATGTTACAGATGGCAGTACGAAGCTTAGTCACACCTGTGTTAAATAACGTAGCTTACCATAATTTAAACTAGCATTTACTTCAACGTAATAATTAAATTACGTATTTACTGCCTTGGCTTGCCGTAGTTTTCCTTCAGACTAACTCGTAAAGACCTACAGAATCCGAGAGTGGCGATTTATCTTTCGAACATGTTCGAAATATAAGTATAACGTACTCTGTAATTGCTTATTCAACATTTTAACGGAGTCTGAATTTACAGTTAACTCCTCAAATTGCCACACTTACACGTAATTTACCGGTTTATAAATTGTACTTTTACGAACTTCAAAGGACTTAAATATATAAATACTGTCATTATTTGCCCTAGTTTAACCTTGTTAAACTTACCTTTTTTAGAATGCTATTATTTGCAAATTACGTTGTTATTTCTAAGTAGGTAAAGCTACGTTTTTCAACGCATGCGTGACCAAGGCTTAAGTTATAAGGCTGTCGAATCAGGATTAATGAAAATTTTAGTGAACCAAGTTACAGATTGTTTCTGAGAAGTCTCCCTGGGGTGAAAGTATTTTCTGGTCATTGTATCGAATAAACAGCAGATATTTTAGAATTTTTCTTGCTTAGAAACGAGTGCGATATCTCTTGGTATCATAGGCACACAAACTATCAAACTGGCTATCGTGACAATGTTATCGTAACCCAAACTCAAGTAAAATAGAACTCAGACAAAATAACAAAATAAAACGATTCATGAAAAAGTACTAGGAGAATTAGACCTGGGCCCGTATTCATGAAACCATTCTCATGCTCAAGCATAGATTTTGTGCTTAAGCAGACTTTTTTTTTTATAATTCACCTAAATCATATAAAATAATACAAATGTCAAATATAAACATTGAATAAAGCTTTCACTTGAAGTCCTTTCATTTTTTTTTATCTTTAGCAAAATAAGCCTTATTCATTCATTTTTATCTTAAACAAGACATGAGGCTTGAGCACAAAATTTATGCTTGAGCATAAGAACGGTTTCATAAATACGGGCAAAGGTGTTCCGGAAGAATAAGCGTCTTCTTCTTATCGTCGTCATCCGTCGATCAGAATAACCAAAAGACCAAAAGAGCATCAAAGACGTCCAGCTTCATATCGCACAAAAGATAGATTACTTGCAAATGAGATTAATATGACATTTAGCAACATCAGTAAAAATGGTTTATCATTGCTCAATAATATTGCATGACACATCCGTACACATGCATACCAAATATTTTTGTTTATCCATTTTAGATGGTGTCATTTGACATTAAAAGGATGTAAAATATTACCACCAGAGGATGCAAATTTAGGGGGGAAAAGACAAACCGAAAAATCGTTATCATAAAAAATTGTAACCGAATCATTTGTTATTTTTTGCGTACAATTTTATTTTTTATTGTTTTAATTCATAATTCTTTTTTTAAACGTATGTAGTTTATTATAAATGAAATATAAGAATGATAAATACATAAATTAATACAAAGTTTTATTGTATCCAAGTAGGTTGATCTTTGTAATGTTTGTATGTATTTCACTATTTATAAATATGTATGAATGGCCATTGTTTACGTGCATTGATAAAAACATTCTGTGTACGCCGGAAGTTTTGGTTTATACAGACATAAATACGTGTTGTCTGGCGACATTCCGTACTCATCACAACTTCCGGCTTCGTACATTAGAAACATAGTGTCAACACAAGTGCATTAAACCATTTGACCCGATCACCATGCTACCCAGTCATGGCTGCTCCAATGCCGACAAGCTCACTTGTAACCTCGACATCGTCATTTACGCATGCGTGATGACATTTTGATAACTGCCGCAATTATCATTTATTACTGCCTCAAAAGCTTAGCCGAATAGGATATTTCTTTTATATTATTTGAATTAGTTACTTATGGATGGTTTTCTGAATTTAATATAAAGCGCTTATTCACTTTATCCTAATAGACTGATATAATTTTAATATATTGCACCAAAGTATGGGTAAACTACCTCTTTCCATGAGCTATAATCTTAAATGGTATGCTAACAAATCCATTTAAAGAACTTTAATGTGTATATATAGAGTGGCGAGCTCGAGCGGAAGTAAATATCAGTATCATCAACATTTAACTCGCTATCAACTAGCTACAATTACCACTGTTGTAAAGGATGGTGTGTCTCTCTGGTCGGCATCACACTGACAACGTCGTGCATACCAACTTCTACTGGTGACTTTACAAAATGGCGACACAATCAGTGGCAACGTTGGTTTTCTGGCTTGGTTTCAGTTTTTGGATTGTTGAAGGTAGGAAAACTAAGTTGATGTTTTAAAAGACCGAGTTCACGTGACATATGAACTTGTTACGTTCCGTTTTTTTGTATTTGATGGAAAAGAGTATATGAATGATATATGATGTATGCTTTGAAGTCGTATGTACTTATTCATTCGTATTTTCATTTCTTTATATATGTATTTATCTATTCAATAGTTTGTTTTAATTTCCCCTGAAATTCCCTGTCACGTTTTCTCTGTTTGAACTTGCGTCCGAAAATGATTCGATATACTATGACCCAGTATACCGGGATAATTCGTATTTATAAAATTACAGTAAAACGACACATTGTTATCGATAAGTGGAAAACAGATTTGCCTGGTATCATAGTTACCTGCTTTCGATTCCCCGAGTCTCTCATGAATGTGTCCGGGCTGACTTTTCCTCTCTTAGTAGGTTTTCTAAGAATAGTAAAATTTTCTCTAATAATAGAGAACGATTATGTAAAAGTGGATAAGACATGTGTTTTACTTATTTTACAAAATTTCATCATTTATTGTGAAATAACAGCGTAACATGAGATATCAGGCTAACGTACTGATAAAGAACATGGACAATCCTAGTGTAGGGCTTACCTGAATATATATTTTTTTTTAAATTAACATTGTATGTTTCCTATTAATTTCTAATTATAAATTATATTATTAAGTACATATAGTATTGTTACAGGTATGGTAAATAACAAGTGTTTACCAAAATATCATACCAATCAACTTACACAGATGGGTAACATTGTTTGGGTTATAAAACTCAGAGCTAAAGTAGAAGTACCGGTGACGAAGGCGTCTAAGATTAGAGTTTAAAGGTCATTGTATGAAGTGCTTTATTTAATGTGCAGTGAAACAATTTGTACAAATCTCACCAGTGGTGTGATCGATGACTATTTTACTATATTCTTCCTTTAAAGGAAATCTTAGAAAATACAGACTCGTACCTTAGATTGTATTGTTGTCAAAGATTTATGTGTTCTTCAGACTACTTTGACAAGATAAGAAAAAAAAGGCAATTCCTGCAGATTATATTCTTAAAATACTAGTGTTTCGGAAAGTAAACCTTTTCCTCAATCCTGGTGATGTGAATCGAATTCAAATTTTAATGATGACAGATTCCTCAATGAAAGAACAGAATCTGTAGAAATTAACAGTAAAACGAAAAGGCATGATATAGAGTAAGAAAAATAAATCGCTTTTTCATGCTAAACAAAGGAATACTTTTTAAGCAGATCATAAAGAGAGGTGACAAAATGAATAATTAGAAACTTTACACACACACACACATACACATACCCTCTCACACACACACACACATACCCTCACACACACACACACACACACACACACACACACACACACACACACACACACACACAATGTTTAATGGGTTTTTTTTTTTATTCATTTCGTTGTTCGTTTATTTCTATCTAAAGATTAAGTCATATGCTTTATGAACGGCCGTACTACATATAATCCGTGATTTCCTCGTCAGGTCACTTCTTGATGGTTTGTAAAATATATTCAAATCAGATTAAGATTTAAATGTGTGCTCAATTTTACTCCAAAGTATAATAAATAAAATATAAATAGAATATCACCTTTCAATACAAATTTAGAATTTAATATAGTGGGGCCCAATAATGAACCAAACTGAATCACATACTGCTCTTGACCTTCTATTACTCGTCAATGATTTAATTCTGAAACCTATGAGGCGACCGAGGAAAATTAAAATCTATTGCAAAGATGAGCTAAAATCTAGATAGGTAAGGTACACCTTGAACGCATTCTTTGTACGTATGATATCCCCGTTATTTGACAGGTTTTGGCACATAAACATCAAAAACATGATAATTAAAATGTGCATTCTGTATTACTGGTAGATAAATGGATATTTTCAGCTGTATGTATATTTCTACTCAAAGGAAATGTGTATAAAAACGAACTTGCTATAAGGAAATTTAAATTATATGAATGAATGGATTAATGAATGAATCATGACACGAATCAATGAACTGAATAAAAGCCACTTATCAATGAAAACCAAAATCATAAATTCAGAAAATTGATAATCATGAATATGGATTCATTAAAACGAACAATAGCCTTTAACCTTTTATGCTCCATTCAAAATCATGGTGATACGAATAACACTAAGAGAACGCAATTAAAAATATTTTTTCAATACAATTTCAGTGTTATGTATCAGTCAGACAGAACGTAAATAGTTCATCTGTTTCTTTCATCATCACCTGTAATTGGCGCAAAAGACAAAAAAATAAGGTTGTAAATAAGAAAACGATTTAGGAAAATATGAATTGGTGAAAAAGATATAAATATATACCTGGAGGTGCAGTAACCCATGAGGCAGACAATGCTTTGTAGATTTAATCATTACGGCTTATTTTCAGGCCAAGGAACAGGGAATGAAAACAAGACAGAACTCAGACATCACGTGTCGTCAGAGAACTTTCCCCAGCCTTACCTTCCAAACACCCACCAGCAGTGGAATTACAGCATGGACCATGGTCAGTGGACAGTCATATTCAGGACCGTGGACATCGAACAGTCACGTCGCTGCCAAAAGGATTACCTGTACATTTATGATGGAGCAAACTCAGAATAGTAAGTCTATTTTTGAAATATCATATCATCCAACCTAGTCTCGGGTCAATTTTTCATATACGTAACATGAAAAACAAAGAAAATATAGACATGTCAACAGAATTTTGATTCAAAATAAAATTCGGTGAAACAAGGGCGAAATATGATGATGAAAGGATTGAAATAAGACCAGATGTTCCGGAAGGATAGGGTCTTGCACTTCATCGACAAGAACCATCCTGTTAATTTTGGTCAATTCAAGAGCTGAAGATTTTTTTATTTTAATAGCATGAACAAAATAACACATAACGGAAAGCAGTTATTCCAATGAAAGGTCTATGACGTATTAGCGGGCCAAAGAATAAATGACATCGTACAATGTATATCTTCCTTGTATACCGGGAATCAACGATGATTCAGAAATTCAAAAGAGCTGTCACTTACCAGAATCGTGATTTCCCTGTCATAAGTTCCGCCCTTACACGTGCACTTTCCTGTCTGAATCAACAACGATGACCACAGCGGATGAGTTGATAATTTAAGACTTGATCAACATGTGCACAACTTTAAAGTCTGGCAGTTTGACAGCTAGAAAACTGCGAATCATTCAATTAATTATTTCGAGATCACCTGTTGCAGAATATGCAACCTGCTTTTGAAACTGTTACTGATGTGTGGACGGGTGTTAAGAATAACGGGCACTGTTCTCACTCTCCTTTCTCGACTTTGAAGTCATGAAGGATTTTATATTTATACCTATATTTTACATAATGTTTCTGTAAGTCAGTAATACATAGATATTTATTTGAATAGAACATACACCTGTTTTGCACTGTAGATTTAAAATAGGTCATGCAAACATTTGTTAAATCCTGAACAGTTAAATCATGCTATTAGTTGTGACATTTTTCAACGAGACCATTAAGTCTATTATGTCTGAGTTTGTTGTTACCCTTCCTATGTATATAAATCTCTTAATCAAACCTGTAATATATATATATAAACATGACAAAATAATCATAATTCAAACTCAAATTCCATCAAACTAGAGCAAAATAAAATTTACACGGAGACTCCTGCATATATATGCATATATACAAGGAGAATAAGACCAGATGTTCCGGAAGCACAATCATCTTCTGCTTCATGGACGACACGCGCCATGTAAATCTAGGTCAATCCAAGTAAGTAATTGCACGTTCTCAAATTAGAACAAGGTAAAATAATACACCAAATTCCCTTATTGAGTTATTCAGGATAATCTAAATAACTTCAAAGGGAACATACAGATATGTTGCTATATCCAAAAGACCAATAAGTGATGTCACAAGCTATGGTCAATGATACTGCAACTTTGAATACTTGTACAAAAGACAGACACACAATGAATCACTTGATAAAATTTAGATAAGATATAAGAGCCAAACACAGAATTAATCTCTACCGTGGAGCTATTTCTTTCTTTTGGGATTCGAAATAGATTAATTACTAAACCTGGTTTACTTTCATATAGTATTGCTATAGCATAAGCTCCGTGTACACGTAAATTGTAAAGAATGTTGGTTATCAAATTAAACAGAATAAAAAGTTTGTCAGTTTCCTGGGTGCATGGATGATAGCTACAAGGTTAAAATAGAATCAATCTCTCATTCAGTTATAAACGACACACAGGAGAACCGTGCCTTCAGATATAGACTAGAATTGTAATGTAAAAACAGCAATCGAATGATAGAAAGTTCCACATAAACCTCCATAGATCTTTTAATTAAAAAGACACATATCCTTAATATAACATATTCAGGTCTGAATGGCGATGGGAGGGATATATCGGAAGAAAATGTCCCATATTCCGTAACAATAGGTAGGTTTTTTTTAGAAAATCAGGAAACATTTGAGACTGTAACACACATGTATTGATTTTATAGACTGTAAAATTGGTTTATCACAAAGCTGTTTAGAATTTAACAAAAGAAATGCTTAATTATTATTTTGGAAGCTCTTTATTTCTTTCACTTCTAAAAGGCGGTTTACCAAATATCAGGTTTTTTTTGCCAAACTAAATTGTTGAGTGCTTTCGTTGTTGTTGACCTTATTGTTCTTTGTAAAGTCATATTGGATTGACTAGGCTTTATGTAACGGGTGGCTCGCTTTTTAAAGCAGAGGACTTAGAAAACGCCCTCTGTTTTGTACTCGTGTCGTCGACTTTGAGTTTGTGAAAACATTTTTGTAATATACAGTTTATGAGTATATTCTTCATTACTTGAATGCACATTTATCTCATGAAATAATGACGTCACACATGCTGTAACGTCAAAACGGCTCGCCTTTTGGGAAACATTGAAAAAGATTCTTCCACAATGTTTGAAAATGCTTTTCAGTGGGAAAATTTAAGTTCGACATAAATTTAGGAAAAAAAATAGACTATGAATATATATTGTACAAAAATAGTGAGCAATATAGCCAAAGGGTGTGTATATATTCCCCTGCTTAATTTCCAGTGCCAAACAATAGATCGCATGTCATGTTAATTTGTTTGTATTGGTATAATTGCCTGTGAATTTATCATTTTGCGAACGTGAGACGACAAGTTATTACGTTCATGCAATGAGGCTGTCGAGCTTGACTATTACTTAAATCTGGATTTATGTAGATGTATACTGCTGGTGATTTTAACACGGAAAGATATAATAGCTTTTCAGTGGTGAATCATCTAATTGTCCGTTACTGTCATAAACAACGAGTGACTTAGTCGTACCCTTTAATACACGTGGATGAGATACAACGTATCATCCCTTCATGGGAAATATATCTTGGAGGTGATGTTACTGAATCGGTAACAATTACTCCCTATAACATAACACGGCTAAATTGATATATGACATAGCACAAATTTTATTATTTCGTCTATAACGGATCTATTTTTAGATTTGTATTGTAATATGTTATATACTAGTTTGTTATGCAAACATTTGGAAGTCGAGTTTTCCATTTTGCATTTATTTAAGTAACATATAGGGGCAAGTGTATTTTGTAACCTATCCGATAGAACAGGTAAACTGCACCCTAACATAATAAAAGCTGCTCCGACAGACGTTATACACGTTATACAAACGTCCCCTGTAAATAGGACAGGAGGACGAATATGGTGTTTAAAGATGAGCAAATATCGACAAACTCGTGTGCAATATATCCAAGCCACAAGCTTGTAATCACTTGAATCACGCATAGTTGAAATAAAACTAGTGAATTATTTAGGTTTAGACAGAAAACATTTTTATATTTCACAGAATTTCGAGAAAGCCTATTAGTTGTAGTAAAAAGAGAAGAGTTCCAATGATATATGTGAAAGAAGAAGCTTAATTGATATTTGGAAAGATGAATATTTATTGATAGTTGATTTCAAGACTGGTGATACCTGAAAAAATTAATAATTGACGATTTTTCTCAACGTCGACGGTTTCAGTAAAAATGGATCTCGTTTTTCGTGCAAGAGATATAAATTGATATAAATTATGGGAATTTAAACGGCCGTAATAGCATTGAGAAATATTATATTTCTTTGTGCGATATGAAGATGTTTACATGTCGGATGTCGACAATGAAGCAGAAGACGCTTACTCTTTCGCAACATCTGGTCTTATATTTTCCCCTAGGTTTTCTAACATTTGAGTTTGGACTTTGATCATATTGTCATGTTGGTATTTGACGTTGTTTCTTAATTGATGCTTTCTCCGAACGAAGAATCCCAATTGCCGGTTTCTTTAAAGGTTAACGATTTCTGTGTGGGGTGCAGAATAATGTTTTCTTCATTTTGGAGTTCCAGGCGTCTCTTTGTTTGCAACAACGTGATAGTATTTACGATCCTTGTTTCCTGTTGTTGGGATTAATAGCTCTGATATATACCACTGTTTGATACACTGGTCATATTGCAGCCCCGAAAAAACATTATGTGATAAACTTGAGAACATGGCGGATTTCCGAACCACACAATCATCCATTCGGATCGTCTTCCATTCGGACAACACTAATCAAGCTCAAGGGTTCGACTTGCACATTGTTCATATTCCCAACGAAGGTAAATTATTTCATATTTTTCACGCATAACCTGATAATACTAAACATGGTAGCTTTCCTAGTAGAAAGTTTCGATCGCGACTGGTAGTACGTTTGGGTTTACGTTTGAAATCCTCACGTTTTTTAACCATCACGCGCTTGGTTAATATCGTTCAGTATCTTACCAAATTACATGTGTGTATATCATATATAGTTTTACGTATTCAATTGATACTTTCACGTAAAAGAAATATTCTGTTAAGAACATTTAAGTTATTCTTCAATCTTTTATTAAAAGAAATATTCTCTATCAGAGATATTTAAGTTAACTGACAAACATTTCATTAAAAGAAATATTCTCTATCAGAGATATTTAAGTTAACTGACAAACATTTCATTAAAAGAAATATTCTATTAAGAGTATTTCAGTTATTCGCCAATTTATTAAATGAAATTTCTTTCGGGAATATTAAAGTTATTCTACCATTCATTAAAAAACATCTTACCAAGTAATAAAAATGTTGTACATCGATTGTCATTATTATGCGCCTCTATTATTAGACTACTACAAAGAACTCTTGCTGAAAAGACATGCACAAGGTAAGGACGACTACCAAAAAGATATAAAGTGCATTAAATAATAAGATGATGATTAAGTGTATATGGAAATCTTTGTTTATTAATCCTCGAGTTCATATTCAAATGTATGGCCAATACACATATATAACTACAATGTGTCTGAATATGGAGAAAATGGCGTCTACAAAGAGCACATCGAATTAAGTATAGAGTATAATACATTTTGCTTCTTCATACCGCAGTTATTTTCCTTCTTGTTGTCATCAAAATCATTATTAATGGCTACCGTGTATCTTTTTATAATTCGTATTCAAAGGTGTTGCTTTTATGCAATCATAAAGCCGATGACATCGATTTGCGTTATAAGTGAATTATGACAGCTCAAATCAATCTTTTTTTATTCCAGCTGCGAAAGTGACCATTATACAAGTGGATTCATCACACTCGTCCGTCTTGTTTGTTCCTTTGACCGTTGCGTTGGTAATTCTTTTCCTTGTTTTCCTCTCCCTTGCCGTTTATCTCATCGTTGGCCTCAGACGGAAGAAGTATAATGCACACGACACCATCCTATCAAAACCACATCGACCTTCAAATACCTCCAACATCACTTCAGGTCGGCGCTACACCCGTCAACTTAGTGTAGACAGTGACAATCTGTCCCATCTCTTGCCGGCAAACAAACCCGAAGTTAATTCTCCGACGCAGCTGGATTCGCCAGGGTTCAACAGTTACATCTGAACTTTGTACAGGCATTTTGAAAACTACGAAGATGAGTGTTTTGCACAACATTAGATTGTGATTGAAAATGTCAAAGGGAAGTTATTTTCATCACGGACAAGAGCTTGAATTGTGCAGCGTGTCAACAAACTTTTTCTCTAAATGCCTTTCAGTTTTACTGTCGCGGATTGAGAAAAAAATATGTGCAAATGCAGCAATATCAACAGGAAGATCAAACAACGAAATGAATTGCATTTTGTTCGAATGAAAACACTGCATACGAAAGATAAAGCTACATGTTGGAACAGACACATAGGTATAAACACCGCCATTGTTTTCATCACAAACATGAGATGTGAAATTGATGTTGACATTTGCCAAATAATTATATAGGCAACTTGGACAAAATTGCATATTTAGCAGCTTTTAAAATCATTACCTATGCTGAGAAAATCATCTATGCAAGGACCAATGCTTTTAACAAAACAGCTCTTTTAAAGAATCGCTTTAACCACTACCTCTCTTAGACGACTCATTAATTTGACCCGCGCGTTGATTCTTGTGTTCTTTAACGTCAGTGATTACGTGTGCGTGTTTTTGACTTTCAAATGTATTTTTCAGAGATTGTTTTTGAAAGATAAATGTCTACTTGAAGCAGTATGTACCCTTACGATTGTTGTTCCATGCATTCAATGTGATATCATGATGAAACATAATACATCAGTAACATTGATTTGTTTTTTTAATTGAAGTGCCTTATTTTTTATTTGAATGTGTAATGAATTGTACATTATATCATATTAACTTGGCACATGTATATGCTTGTTTAACGTTCCAAAACGTTTCCAAAAATGTTTCCTATACTTGTGTTCAGATCGTTGAAGAAATGACGAAGACATGCAATAACAGGTTTGTTATTCCAATGAAAACTTGGCTGTTGTACATAAAGATAACAAATTGTTACATGCATTTTAGTTTAGGTGTGCTTAACTACACAGAACCTCTCCATAGATAGAAAGTTGTAGATTTGTTTAAAAGTGAAATACAACATATTTTGTTTGTTTAAATTAACCTTGGCAATTTTGACGCTTCAGTCAAAATTGCACGAGAGGAGAAAGAACCTGATTTATTATTTCTGGATATTTTCTTCAAATGACATTTATATTGAAAACGATTTGCACAGAAAGCAATGTAATGTTTTCATATGTTTGCGTTAAAATGCACTATGCATACTTGGGATATCGAATGTTAGACTTTGAAATAGAATCAAGTGTTTGAGGTTTCATGAAGTTTGACGCGTGAGGGCGAAATCACTTATAAAAGAGTACTTTTCTTGTTCCCGTGTAAGGTCAAAACATTATTTCTCCAAATTTTGATTTTCAGAAGCTGTATTGCTGTTGAAACTACAAAGTAAAGTATGTTGTAGTTGCTTTGAGTATAGGTTTTTTTTTTTTTGCCTGGCTGGGAGAACCTAGTTTGGGGATTGTTTTCATTGTCTGACCATGTTGTTTGCTTAAAATATTTTTTTCTATCAATATGACTGTATTTTGTTCAATAAAACGCAGACTTGAGATATTCTTAATGTATATCAGCCCATGTTTTGATGTCGAGGGAAAAATTAATTATGGGAGGGGAGGAAGGTGGCGGGGGTTAGAGAGGGTGGCGGGGAAGGAGGAGAGAACGCCAAGTAAGGAGGGAGACGGGGAGAACAGTAAGACGATGAAAAGAGGAGGAAGGTGACGGGGGAGGGGCAATAAAGGGACAATATAATTTCGTATGTAAGACATCGCAAATATTTCGTTTCAAAGTTGGTCAAGTGTGACCTTTAACTTGTTCGTTTCACAGATGACCACCGACATATAAACAGATGCAAAGATTTATGCTTTCGATGTGATCCTTGAACGTTAACTGATGGCCACAAATTTCACCATATGTAGAATTTGATGGTATGAATACTATTCTTGGTCTAAGAAAATGTCTTTGACTTTTTATTTTTCACTTAATCGATTGCACTTTACCGCCAAAAGGTGCCATACTTTTAGTGTTATTATATCTTCGAATGTGGTAGAGTGTCCTCAAAATATCTCCTACACAAGCTTTTTGTTAAGACACATGGACGCATGGATGAACAAGCAAAATGTGTTAGGAATGTAGATGTACGTGTATAACAAAATCAGTCTAGTTGATGATGACTCACAACGGAAATCAATAATAACGTCCTTAAACTAAATCAGCGTCCGGTGATCTTTGAACATTTGATTCATTTTACGAGAATCAGTTGGCCTTTGACACTATGACAACTGATTTCCCGTGTTATTGAATCAATTTCTAGAACATTCAGAACACTTATACTGGATGTCAATATCCAATATGACTGAATTGCCATTTTGAATAGGACCACTTCATAAATTGACTCTCTACATGAAGAGATCTAGGAATTCCACAATGGTGTCCTTTGTTCTTCATCGGGGTTGTGCATAAAACAAAGAAAGTTGGGGGACATCGAGAAGACGGAAGAAACGCTACAACTTTCAATAGATCAAAATAACATATGTGTGCTTCAAAAATATTCTATTTTTATTTCATTACATATAATTAAGTATTCATTCAAATTTTCTTTCATTCAGTCTCATTTATTCCCTCTCTCACTCTCTTCAAAACAAGTTACCTTACTTCATTATTGGCCACACACGTCTCTCTTACAATTCAGAGTTAGCGAATCACAAAATATTACAATATACAATACATTTAAACAAAAAAAACAAAAAAGAAGACATTTTCCCGCATGATACCCAGTTCAGATAATATTGCAGGAAACGAAATTGTTTAGTTCTATATTTTCTGTTTTACTGTAAGTACTGAAAAAGTATCGAAATATTTATGAAATATTTCAAGCGACAATTTTTTTTAATTTTAACTAATATTACGTTTGAATTTTCGAACATGATCATAACTTTTAAGTTGATAAGAAAGAATTCTCATACAATACTGTAGGTTCTTCATTGGTCATTATAAGGCGACATGTTTCACAGTTATTCAACGACCTTGCCAACTGTCCAAAATTTATATTTAATTTGTTTACTGAATTTTCTCTCCAGGGACCCAATGACGGCACATTATTTAACACCAAGAAAAAAATATGAAAATACATTCTATATTACACAGAGTAATAACAAAATTTTTCCCTATTCAAATGAAAAAAAAAAAACAGTAACACCTAATTATTTAATTTTGGGGAATTTTTATCCAGATTTTTACAAAGTCAACATTAGGTGTGAGAAATATGCAGACAAAACTGCACTGAATGACTGAGTGATGATATAGAAGATTATACGACGGTTCAACAGTGGTAGAGTTTAACTGGAGGATGGTGGAGCAATGGAGGCGCCAGAAAGTTCCATCCGACGAATCTCGTTGGTGATAATTGTAAGGTCTTGTATAAACATTCGGATCTGAAAAATTAATCAACATTCTTATCTCACGTTCGTGTTTCTACGTTTTATTATTCAATCTTATTTTCGATTTTCATTTTCAGTTTATTTCCAGCTGTCAGAAGTCAGAACGACAAGAAAAAAAATGTAGATTCATGATGAGGTATTGATAACATCTACAAACAAAGTTAAGGTGAAATGTCCACGTGAAATAGAATGCCTAAAATATGAAATTTAGTTTAGTATTTATAGTTTTGACCAACAACAAGTGAAGAAAGCATCACATTGAAGTAGGAAGCAATCCAGAAAACCGTAATGTGGCTTTTTTCGCAGTTTTAAATTTCGTTACAAGAACATAACACCTTAAAAGTGCTTAAGAAATTGCATGCTGACTACTAAAGAAACACGCAAGGCAATAGCATCCAGAGGAAGAATGAGACATGCGCAAAGCGGTAGAACACGACATGCTAGAGGTGACGATTTGATGTGTAAGTGTGTCTGTTTATGAAGATGTCAGAAAGCTTGATGTCAAGGTGTCTGATCTCTTCAGCTCCTTGCAAATATCTGTTAGATCTTCTAAGAACATTTGAATCTGAAAGATAAGAAAAGAAAAAATATTTCAAAATGTGATCGATATGTATATGATGCCTCAACATGCTATATCATCAGAGGAGTATTTTACGAAAAAAAAGTAAATTCATATTGAAACATGTTTTTACTAGTGTATAATTACCTAGACAGTTTTTAGATAAGATAAGGTCAACAGACGTGATGAATACATCTCCACTTGTATTTGACATACAAATCAGCACAAATACGGAATAAAAAAAATGTGCTGCCTTCACAAGCCTCTTGAAATACTATATAAATAGATCTTGAGTGGATCTAGCAAATTCATGGACATAGTTTATAAAATGAGCAGTTAAAGTAGTTATTTAGAGTGAACTTCCTGGATTTATTATGTTTCTGACCCACTTTCGAGGTCCTTGTCCAGATGTTTTCCTCAAACGAGTTTCTCAAATGAAAACTAGGAAGTAGAAATAACTGAATATATTGGTTTCTTTTGTTTACAATTTTAACATTAAATTTTTTCACGTCAATTATAAGCAACTCCCAATTTTTTTACAATAACATTACCATCATAATCGAAACAGTACGCAAAATAAACACTTTGCAGTAGCAATGACATATAGTTATCTTGTGTTCTCCATTTTATTTCCTTAATTCATTTGCTGCTTTTCAAATACAAAGAGATTTAAGATATCTTTACAAAATCAGACTTCACAGCAATAACCTCTGCATGATAATATTTAACTATTTTCTTCATTCAATCATATTTCAACGGTCACTTTATATCGCCATGGAAACGATTTCCATTGATGATATGTCTCCACTTCTAAGCAGTCACCGTTAAATTTACTCTCAAAGCCCATTTAATTGAGCAATGATACTTTCCAACACATTTACATTATTGTTTTATCGATTCATGTTTTTAACACATTTATCTTTAAATAATTAATGACATTAATATTCACTTTCTTTTCTCTTCTTCAGAAATTCGAACGGGCAGCGCAAAAATGTTTTCTATCGTTATAACAATATAACAAATAATAAGCTTGCTAAGTAAAACATTCTCACCTGCTTTGTGTGGAAGATTCGTCATTGGATTCGGAGGCAAAGTTAGAATGTTAAATTTCTTACTATGTTAATTGTAAGTGTGAACTATAGCTACTGAAGGATAAGCAGGCAAGTAAGCAGGTGATGTGAAGTAAATAAAGAACAATAATTCAGTGTTGATCTCGTTTCAGGATAATTATAATAATTAAGATAAATTTCTTTAATTTTCTTTTGTCTAGGCAGAAGATATACGAAACTCGATTGATAGAGAGTACAAGCGTATTGATTTTATTTATTACAAAATATGCTGACCAAACATATTTTTCTTAATATTCAATAAAGCCATTGTAAAACATCATTAAATTGTAAATTATTCAATTTATTTCTACAAATTTGCATACATTTAATTTTTCTTGCACATAACATAGTTAAAAAATTATCATCAATTAACAATTACATTTGAACCCAAGTAAGTTAAAACAAATTCTTGAACATGTATATGATAACTGTAAATTCTTGAAAATTTTCTGATTTCTTTTTCGATCCCACCAAAAGATATTTTTCTTTCTAGATGCTATTTAACAGCCCACTTATTTACTAGAAATTGTTTTGTCAATGATGGGGTATAAAAATTCATACAAACAAATAGATTTAAATCTAGAACAGTATTTTGCTTCATTGCGGGTTGATTATAATCCACGGGAAGGATTTAAAACCTGTAAACAAAAGTCTTTGTCGTAGACTTACAGTAATGCTTTTGTTTTTGTTTGTTTTTTTGGTTTTTTTTTTACTATTTATTTCAGATCACAAAACAAATATTGGATAATCAAGCCAAATTCAGTTCTAACTTATGAAAATGCATGTTACACACACATGACTGGTTAAGAAGACAGCAAACAAAATCGGTTAAAATTCAAATATTAGCTGTTGGATTCTAGACATGTTACTAAGTAAGTGAGAAAATAAACCTGTTCAGGATCTAAATTTCAGACCGATTTTCCACTTCGAGTAAGACAAATTAATTTTATTGCGGGAAGGTATTTTTCTGTCATGATCAGCATCCTGCCTTTAAACATATCTATACATATGTAACTTTGATCAAATAAAAACAACACTAAAACTTTCTAAAATCCCTTCCCAATATGTTGAACTAAATTTTAACAAGTGAATACATACAATGTATTTTAAAAATATCTTGAGATTAAAATCAAATGCTTTACAGTACATTGTTAAAACAGGTTTATATATCCATGGACGCAATGAAGAAAAGATGTCTCAAAACGAAATTAAAAAGCCAAATATTGAGAAAAAAACTAAATTATGATAAAAGCATTTGTCTATTTCATGCAGAAAGCGTAAAAAGCTCTAACAGCACCACAAAATAGCAAAGATAGCACAAACAATAGCACAAGATAGCACAAACAATAGCAGAGTGAAATTGTTAGATTAGCAAGAGATAGTGTGTGTAAGCAGTGATCCAACCATGCAGAAATTCAGATCACACACACCAAAATGTAGACTACGATATCAAATAATTTGGTGTCAATTTCAAGAGTGACGAACAATATCAACCCATTTTTAGAAATCTAAATACAGTCTATTTTTCTCTCTGTATGGCTACTCATTGGGACATCTCCATACTAATTTTTATTCGTAGTGTGTTGGAAATTATTCCTAGCTAGAATGTATTTTCGTATTAATTGTGTTGGAGATTATCTCTCTCAATGTTGTATTTCTAGATGTGTGTATTTTCCAATAAAATCTTTTTTTAAAATTGTTTTTTTCAATATTTTGTAAAAAGAGCATTATTTTCCTATAATGAGTGTAATGATTCACAAAGTTTTCAACAAGAGAGAGAGACAGAATCACGGTTTCCATTTTATTACTTGAATCTGTAAATGTTCTTGTAACTGTGAAAACTTAAACATTCCTTATTTTGTACTGGGTCATATTCTTCTTGAAGATAATCTGTTCTACATGAATCCCTCTCAACTGTATTTTTATATTCATGTGTTTCGTTCATACCCAAAATATGGGGCACAACTGAAAAATTTTTACTCCAACGATAAAAATTAGATTTATAGAAATATCATTTAATAACATTTTAAAATAATGATGCTTCCACAGAATAATTAAGCAAGATTTGTAAAATGAATATAATATTTTGTTATCACTCTTAAGATTGGGAAAACCTAATTTGTTTGATTCATCGCAGAATTAGAATGTAGAAATTAAGACATGTATAAAGAGTTTGTAGGGCAAAATGATGAAAAAGGAGAAACGGACAGAGTGGTCAATGAATGTAAAATTCCATTAATTATGTAAAAGATGTGAATAGATTCATAATGGAATAAGATGAAGCGTAAATGAATTGTGGATTGCGTAGATTTGAAAAGAATAGAAATAGAATAGAAAAATAAAGACAAAATAGAATACAAGTGAACAGGAAGGAATAAATACATATATGTATGATCTGGATATCACAATAACATAGGATTTTCAATTCAAGAAATAAACATATGATAGAAAGTTAGTCTACTCTAGCAGAATAGTATTTCATTGCAGCTAAGAAAACAGAGAATATTGAATTATAAATTTATTTTACGAAAGAGTAAATTCTGAATGATAGAATTGAAGAGTGAGCAATGAATTAATGATGGACAACAAAGAAACTGGAAAGGAGATAAAGATTAAGAATCATATGTGATGAAATAGACTGCCAGCTGTTAATTACTGGTATAAACTGAAAATGACAATAAAATTTAAGCTGATTATTCATTTTCACCGTATATAAAATATCCCATTAAAAAGTGTTAAATTCAAGGTTTAATAGTTTATTTGACAACTGATACCATTAACACAAAACCTCAACCCAAAATTACCCTTAAAAATAACTTTGCCACAAGGTAAAATTCCACTATTTGAATTTCTTAATATCTTTTTAATTAATGCATAATTTAATGTTAAAAATATCAGCAATAAAGTTATCAAATATTATATAAAACTTGTCATATATGAAAACACAACTGAAAATATTTTTAGATTTTTTTTCATCTGTAAAAAATTAATTTCTGTTCCAAAACATGTAAAATAAAACAATTTCTTTTCTTTTCTTTTTTAAATTTTCTTATGCGATATCAAATTGTGAAATTTGACCATTACAATTTCAATACAACCCACAAAATGAATCCTCAACTACATGAAACTTCTATAAATATCTACAGCAATGGTAAATTATCATCACAATACTACAAAAATAACATGTTAACCATAATGTAGAACACATGAACCCTACTCGATATTAAGAGAATTAAGTTAATGAAGGAAAAATAAGAGATTATTAATTATATAACATGATATTGCATATAAGATAAAAAAAAAATTCTTCCTGTGTCTATCTAAACCTGACAGGATTTTTCCAGAAACAAGGATGTTTATGTACTCGCCAAGTGGTTTCCTACTTAAAGCTAAACCTCCATGCCTAATGTTAATTAAAAAGTCTGTAAACCAGATTTATCTTTATTATATATGAATAGAGACCAGCAGTCGCTTCTAATATCTACATCTATATTTTCTGTTTTGTTTCATCCTTTTATTAATTTTATTCCGTAATCAAATTTCTTCATCTTTTCCATTTTTTTCTTCTTCGTTGCATGTGGCTCCATTAAAAATAATACACAGACTAGATATACAAGATAGAAATAATAAAAAGTTGATTTTATTCTCCCTCCCCAACACCCCCTCTTTAGTCAAGTATAATGCAATTCCTTTCATTTCCTTACTTTTTTCCCAAAAAGAAAGTCTTTGATAAAAATTTATTTTTTGTAAATTTTCTTTAAAATTTTCACTCAAATATAAAGTAAATTTGACTCTATAAACCTGCAGTCAATCTACATATTAACTTGTTTGGTTATCTTATAAAAATTATAATATTTGAATGGTAACCACTTGGCAATACGTTGTGAGGAGGTGGGATACACTTTGGTATGAAGGAAGGGGATATAACTCTGACCACATACCTGGTGTAGCTGTTCTGCAGTGTCCTCCTCTGAACCAGTCTGTTTCTGGTGTCTCTTCACAAGCTGATATAAATTGTGGGCGGCCCTGAAAATCAAACAAAAATGTGACAATACTGAAAAAAATATGAAATTTATTCTCCTTGATTTCAAAAATACCTTTAATCGACTAATTCATATGTTCACGAATTGAAAAACTATTTAAAATTTGACACATTTTTATATTAAACATTATCAAGTGCCAACTTAAAATCAATTCCTAAAAAGCAAAAAAAAGTAGAAGGGATGAATGAAATTCTATACAATTGATCATTTCTAAGTGGTTCTAATTTTTTTGCTAAAATACTGAAAAAAAAAAACTATTTGTGTTATAACTTTGGTAGAACTGCAAAATTTGGATCCTCTTGAAAAACTCACATCTTTATTCTGCCTAGCTCCAGAGTTTTCTTGGCAGCCGTGTTTTTTATATGAGTCCACTTTGATTCCCAGAACACAGCCTCACTCTGAGCTTCATCTAATCGGGTCTGTAGTCCGGATAGGAGGTTATTGAATGAGAGAATTTGGTTGTCTTTCTCCTGAAATGAAATTTTGATTTTAATTTAAAATCAAACTACTGAACTTTTTCCTGCTATAGATATAGATAACAAATACCTGTCTACAAAGGACAGCTATAGATAACACATACCTGTCTACAAAGGACAGCTATAGATAACACATACCTGTCTACAAAGGACAGCTATAGATAACACATACCTGTCTACAAAGGACAGCTATAGATAACACATACCTGTCTACAAAGGACAGCTATAGATAACAGATACCTGTCTACAAAGGACAGCTATAGATAACACATACCTGTCTACAAAGGACAGCTATAGATAACACATACCTGTCTACAAAGGACAGCTATAGATAACAGATACCTGTCTACAAAGGACAGCTATAGATAACAAATACCTGTCTACAAAGGACAGCTATAGATAACACATACCTGTCTACAAAGGACAGCTATAGATAACAGATACCTGTCTGAAAAAGGACAGCTATAGATAACACATACCTGTCTACAAAGGACAGCTATAGATAACACATACCTGTCTACAAAGGACAGCTATAGATAACAGATACCTGTCTACAAAGGACAGCTATAGATAACAAATACCTGTCTACAAAGGACAGCTATAGATAACAGATACCTGTCTACAAAGGACAGCTATAGATAACACATACCTGTCTACAAAGGACAGCTATAGATAACACATACCTGTCTAAAAAGGACAGCTATAGATAACAAATACCTGTCTACAAAGAACAGCTATAGATAACAGATACCTGTCTACAAAGGACAGCTATAGATAACAAATACCTGTCTATGAAGCTCATTTGTAGATAGAAAACACTTGTCTATGAAATTCACCTGAAGATAACAAATACCTGTCTATTAAACTCATCTGTTTATAACAAATACCTGTCTATTAAGCCCAGATGTCTATAACAAATACCTGTTTATTAAGCCTACCTGTCCATAACAAAAACCTGTCTATTAAGCCCACCTGTATATGATTGTTACCTGTCTATAAAGACAAACGGTATATAACAAATACCTTGAATGGTTAATTTTATCATAATTCCATTGAAATAGAATAGTTTTATAAATATTTACCTCTATATATTTCATCAGATTCTGTCTCTGTTGTTCAATCACAGCTTGGTTCTGATTTTCACGATCCATCAAGTCCTGAAATCATTTAAATAAACAACAGATAAATAGACTGCCTGCAATAAGCCACTGGGCGCTCAACAAAATGCTTCTTACTCAAAGTCACATATTTACATAATTTATGGGTTCAGCAGTATAAGTGGGTGGGCTTATTACCAGACATAGGCTTATTAACTGGAGAATACTGGTACTGTATGCATAATCTTTTAAATCTTCAAAACAAATATTTCTGAGTAAAATACAGGTTAAAGGGTATTTCATAGAAATGAAAAAAAGTAACACAACAGGCCAGTAATTCAATTAAGATTTAACTTCTACCGAAGTAAGTTAGCTTTTTATTATCACCAGTTTTTAATAAACAGTTATAAACATTACGGAAATCTGTGTGGGTATCCATGGTCTTACTAGTATGTACCTTTTTTTATCTGCTAACAGGTCGAAGCTCTTTAATAAGCCCTTCCATACATGATGTAGTAAAACTACAAAGATACTTCACTGACCTGTATTAAGCACAAACCTGCCTTTGAGACAGAGTTTCTATATTTGGCCCTTTGGTGTATAAGTGAACTTACTCCCATTGTGCAATAGGATTAAAAAGGAAAATATTCAATTCTTTGTGAATAAATAAAATAATCTTGACTTCAAAAAACAAATATGAAACATCAAATTCTACGATCGTTAAGATGATGATGAGGAAACACTTTGACAGCTATTCACTTTTCACTATTGTAGATTTTCTAGAAAGCAAGTGGTATATGTAAAAAATTGAGAATACTTACACCGTGTGTTGCAACCAAAGTATCATGCCTGGCTATGATGTCTCTCATTTCATGAAATTCCTCTCCAGCTTCCAGTGTCTTCTCCATATATTTGTGGAATATTGTGTATTTTTCTAATTTTGTTTGAAGTTTTTCTTTTTCTTTCAACAAGGAACCTTTTTCATCTCTCAATCTGCAAGACAAAACATAAAATTGTTTTACTTGAAGATGAAATTGAAAATCGTAAAAGATCTTTAAGGCAGAAATTTATGAGAAAAATAAATAAATAGATAGATAAATAAATATATAAGGAATTTCAAATTTATCGTAACCAAAATATTTTCAAGATTGTAAAATCTAATCTGAACATCTATTAAAAACTAAATACTTTCCATATCAAGCTAAAATATTAGTTATAAAATAGATATATCTATGAACAAGATAATTCAATTTTCCAACATTATTACTAAAAACCACACCATGCTGTTTCATGTACATAGCAATGTTACAATAAACTGGCAAAGCTCTTTTTAACTAACATTTCTACATTAAATAAAACAAGATAATTGGGGTATAACATTATGGCTCCCCCCTCCCTCCCTCCTTCCCTCTACACACACACACACACACACACACACACACACTTACTTGTCTATTTCTTTGTCTTTCTGTTTTTTAGAATCTCGTTCATCCTCAGCCTTCTTAAGAGCTCGGGCACGTTTGGAGTCATTATCCTAAAAATAGCACAAAAACAAAATCTTACATGATACTCACTACTAAATTATTCTGAATGGTTTTAAAAATTATAGGAATTAACAAATTATTTTTGTCTGGTTAATCTTCTGAATCTTCAAAACTCATTAGTTATAATTAAACATGTTGCATGATACACAGGAGGAAATGTTTAAATTATGTTCAGGTATGTGTACATATGATCTTATATGAGTTTTCATTTCATATGAGATTTTATGATATGATTCAAAGAAAATTCTATTTTTCAGAGTGAAACATTAAAGCTTTCATAAAATTTTAAAAAAAAATATAAGACACTTTTTATCAATTAACTCAGAAAAGATCCATTTGACAGTTTTAAGGTAAAATGTGTGGAACAAAAGGGAGGCAGCTATTTTGTTAAGGCATTTTCAATTCATATAAATGATATATGGCAATTGTGTATGTTATGACATCACACTCGATTCCTACCGGTAATTGGCTCAGCCACTCAACGAGTGATGTGTAAGCAAAAATATTATAAAATTCACTGGATAATAGGTGGATCATGTGATAAATAGTTTTTCAACATCATATCATTCATTGTTAGAGATAATTTTGTAAATAAATTCATTACATTATATTTTCAACAGGTAAACACTACTCACATTTTGGAGACGTTTGAGGACAGCATTTAAGATTAATCTTAATCAGGCAATTTTGGTTTTAAGGGAAATTTTTGATGTACAAATTCATTAAGAAAATTTGTATTTTTTTGTTTGTTTCTTTTTTTAACATTTACAGTGTCATTTACATTTTTCTTTCATTGTTGTTTTTTATGCCAAGTACATATATACTTTTTTCACTTGATATTTGTATATTAGATAATATATCAATAACAAGACAGCGGACACTGACGATACCGTTATGTACAAAGCTAGACGAAAACTCACCTTTAAGAAATGGTCAAATTTCAATAACGATTCTTTTAATTGATATTCTTTTCTTTCTAATTCTTCTCTTCTCTGTTGTAAACTTTCCATTTTCATTTGAAATTCCTGTAAAAAACAAAAAACAAAACATACAAAAGATTCATATTATTATATCTAATAAATATTCTTATGTTTTAAAGTTGAATCAGACTACAGTGAAAAATGGACCAATGAATATTGTATCATTGTATACATCAGGGGAGGCAAATCTTAAATGGTCATCATTGTGTACATTAGGGAAGGCAAATCTTAAATGGCCGTCATTGTATACATCAGGGAGGCAAATCTTAAATAACCATCATTGTGTACATTAGGGAAGGCAAATCTTTAATGGTGATCATTGTATACATCAGGGGAGGCAAATCTTAAATGGCCATTGATGTTGATAGGCTAATATTAACAAATGATATAAATCCAGACCTCTTTTTGTGCTGCGAGAGCTTGTTCAACTTCTGCCATTTCTCTCCTTTTTTCAAGAAGACGTGTAGCAGGTGTAAGGTGGTCATCTTCTCTTTCCGGCATCTTTCTGCAAACACAAATTGTATCAGTGTCTGTGTGACATTTTTTGTGTAAGTTTAAATAACATCAATTTGTGGCATTTCTGTCAATCGATGTGAGGGTTTAACAAGAGTTCCCAGAGTGATCTTGGCATCTACCATTGTTTGATCTTTATATGCTCTTTGAAAGTTGGATCTCTTCACTTCTTTTCTTTTTCTATTTCTTTTGCAGAAATAAATGATAATCATTATCTGCCAAATCCAAAAAGGCAACCTGGAAGCCATTTTGTTTCTTATTAGTCCCAAAAGTATATGAGCACAAGAAGAGACCAAGAGGAACATACATAGGAAATTTGAGAAAGATCTATACAGTAGTTCGCAGGAAATAGTGATCACAAATCTAAGATGTCCGTCTGTTGGCCATTTTGTTTTTCTGTTGTAAATGATTTAGAGAACTACAATAACGTTGAGCTTCATGAAAACTTCTGTTATGTTTTTATTCAAACAGACCGATATCGCTCCACTACTCTGCAAATTAGTGGATTTTAGCCGTGTAGACATCCGTTCAGCATCAAATGTCATAATCAGCCATTTTGTTTTTCTGATCATTCCCAAAAATCAAATGGACATAACTAAGGACAAAAGGAAACTTACATATGCAATTTGAGAAAGATCCAGGACTTCTCAAGAAATAGCATAACAAAAATTGTATATGGACGGATGGACGGATGAAGAATGGACGGACCATGGACCATGGACGTAGAGCAATTTGAATAGCTTAAAATCGATTTTTGAATTGCTACAAAACAAAGATTACCAATATCTACCAAGACCAGAGGCCAAGACTGACATTGATTATTTAAGCTCTATAAAGCCTCATGTCAATCCAAACAAAATACCACAATGGCTTTATTACATTTTGATTGGTATCAAAACCAGATCACATATTGATGAATGTATGATTCCATGCCATTTCAATTGCATCTTATTCCAAAATATTAGTGTCATACTGCAATCTTTCGTAACTTGCCAGACAAATCTGATTGGCTGAAATTACACAACATCACTTAACACTTGGGCAAACTTGAAGTATGTTTTGTAGCTGTCGAAGTGTGCAATTCCATATTAATTTTCAATTATCATTATGTGCCTGTCAGCCAAAATCCTATTTCTCTAGAAGAATCAGTGTGTATTAATTATAATACAATAAGTTTTATTACAACCTAAATCTAAAAATTGTATGTGCAAAGACATAGTTTACATTCTGTGAATGATAATGACATGAAATAGTGTTAGGTCGTACACTTGTTATGCAAACTTTGAAATATCATAATTAACAGAAAGTACACACTTTCTAACAGATATTTAAATACTATGGTGTTTTTTATCAGTTATGAAATGGCTATCTAACCAATCAGCTCCTTTAAAATCTGTGATCCTGTTTAAAACAATACATAAATACAGCATGTGTTGCCTAGTAAGGTCTGCTATGACAGCAAATTATCCATCATTTACAAATACTATGAGTGTCTTTGTATCTGGCTGTATCCTCTACTATTTCATACAGAGACAGACAGTTGTGTACAGTAATTTCCCTCATATACATTGTATGTAAGAGAATTGATATTATCAAATTATGACAGAACGCTATACTCACACGAGGAGTTTATCCTCGAAAGTTGTCCGGAAGTATTCTCCAAGATTGACATTCATCTTGCAAGGTTCCCTTAGGGTTCACTTAACATTAAACGATATACTAATAAGAATCGCCCCTTTTCTTCAAGTGGTTCCAGTTAAACCTAACCCGCCATTTGTAAACTACGACGACGTTGCTAGGGGACGACAGCAAATTGCTTCAGCATATAAATTAATAAATGAATTAATTTAGGTAATTCAACTCTATACCTCAATACTCAATAAATCAATAATTAAGAATAAATTATTTGACGTTCATTATTTTTATCTGACAAAATAAGGACTCTTTATTCACAGTTGACATTGACAGCTTCCGGTATGAAATAGAGGCTCTAGCAACATGGAGTTGACCAAGATGGCTGGAACCGTGGCAAGGCAGTTATTTTCTCGGAACTCGGCATTGTCATGTCGCGTGCTGAATTTCGGTCAAGTACACCACTCCAGGTAAATGAAATAACATATATTTATTATGCATTAATGGTGTTAACTCGCCAGTGATACATCTTGCGTTTTTAATTTCCTATATTGCAGACGACGTTAACAATCTACCACATTTACTTTCGTTTTTCAAGGCCAGTCAATGTCAATCCTAAAGTATTTTTTTCACGTTTGATTGAATGTCTAGGCGGAAAGCTAGAGAATCGTGCAGCACTCCGTCTAAAATGTTGAGCCGATATTTGCAGTTGTACTGTTGTAAAGGTATTTGTTCGGTAGTAAATTTCGTTAAGAAGGTGATGACCCTAGTTCACCCCGAGGTCGACGCTGTTTGTTTACTTTCCTACTGTAAAAGCGTCGATGTTCTTTATTTCAATAGACTGGATAACACAAAGCGATTACAATAAAGACGTGTGTAGTGGAACTGAACTAGTACTTCCACAAGAAATCTGATTGTGAAGTTGTGGTTGACGTCTTGTGCAATGTATATAAATCTGCAGTAGTAGTACATTTAAACTACACTTACTGTTTTTAAAACGCCGTGCGTCTTATAGCTATCACACAGATCAGCTACTAGCTTGCTAGGCTATTTAATTATAGCCTTGACCGAATTTTACACCACAAAAATACCAGACAATGCACATATACCTATGCAGGAAGGATGTAAAATATGTTTGGAAATTAGTTCATGAAGTATTCGGTGATGTAATTTTATGATATATCATCAATCAATATTTTAAAAAAAAAGCTAAAATGTTATAAGATGCTGTGTTTTAAATGACAACTTGGAACTATTTCATGGAGATATCACACCGCTTCTATTCTTTTTGGAAGTAAAAGTCATATCATCAACATAGATTGATTTATCTCCCTTCGTCCATACTTTCAAATAGATAATCAAATGAAGGAGTAACTGATTCCCAACATAGTTCTAAAACCTTGAGCTTTTATCTTAAGTTTCATTTTCAGTAGTCCTGCCACTGTGGACTTTAAAAATCAAGTTTCTGACCTGATTTATCAAATAGATGATTGAAATGTGCTTTATTTTTGATAGAAAATTATTTACACAGTAACAATAAATTAATAGAAAAGTTTGTGAAAACTTAAATATGAAACAACAATGACTAGTGTGGAGTTAGCTTTTTATGATGAATTCAGGTAATATGCTTAAATTCACTAAGCATGGACAAGAAAATGATCAAGAGTGTGAAAGATATGTTGTGGTCAGCAAACATAGATACACCATAAGAGGCTTTAGATTACATCATAGGATATCATGATGAACATGTTTAAATGTTTGGACAGCTAATACCCTATATGTGTTTTTTCTTATATCATGTTATATCTGTCTTGTAAATTGAGTCTACTTTATACATTCTTGTGATAATTCTGCATGTGTACAATCACAAGCAAGGATTTATCGACTCATTTTCCATTGAACTGAAACCCATTGAGGAGTCATTATTGATTGTATCTGTGTAGTAGTCATGCTTCTTTGCATACCAAAACCACAACTCTGAGGGTTTGTTTAAGCTTTTATTTTCACAAAGAGTAATAAAAAAAAACCTGCAACAGATACAACATATATTACTACGAATTACTCACATCAAAGTCTTCTTCTTTAAAACTATAGACCTTTACGCGTATTACAAAATGTAAATTGACCACACCCAATATTTGAATTTACTTGATACCGAAAACATTTACTTTTACTCGAAACAAAACTATTACGTAAATTAAATATGTTATTAAATAGATACTATATTAAATTATACTTATCGTTACATACTAAGTATCGGGTACTTACATTACTCCTACAGCTAGTGTCCCACAAATAGCAATTATGTAACTTGTTGGAGTTGCCGCATCGGCCGCTCTGCCTAAAATGACCAGTGCGCTCCTAGATCACCCAATATCCCCCGTAAATATACTAATAATAGATAAGACAGACTGGACAAACTGGTTTACAAATACAAACTTCACATCCATCTCTCGCTCCACTGTCACTTTCACATGCCATACTCGTGCACGTGCTAAAATCCATGTCGCAATGCGCCACGTACCAAATAATACGAAAGGCTGACATCCGGTTCTGACACGCGAATGCCTAACGATAATATTAAAACAATAACAAATGTATATAGCACATATATTAAAATAATATGTCAACATAACATTACTACATCTGGACAATAAAAGCGTGATTGGTTCATATTTTGACTCAGAGATGAACATGTTTGTAGATCTTCTTGGATTTTGATGCAATAATTAATACGTACAGATGTAATTGGAAGGAGTCCTGTAAACACAGCTCTTGGCTGCTGCGGTTTGAATTCGTCCTACAGGTTGTATTTTCTCTGGTTTTCATCTCTACCAATACTAATTATCTGGTGAGGCTATAGTGACGCTTTGGTCTCTAGCCGGACTCTCTACCACCAGACTAGAGAAATCCCCACCAGCTAAGGCTAGATAGGTAACCATATCTGCCCTGAACTCAGGGCTCTCGATCTGCCAGATTTGGGGCCAATATTCGGCCCCATTCCCAATGCAAAATAATATCTTTTTTTCCCAATTTAGACCCCAAGTTCTCCCAATTCTAAGGAAAACACCATTATTTTCCCCAATTTTAAGGGCCTCAGGCCCTAGTCCCAAAATGGGGTGTGAGAGCCCTGGAACTTCTAGTATCAGTAGGACTCATCTGCTTAACTCTTTGTTTTTGAGACTTGATACAGTGCTCAAACAAGCTATAAACTGATGAAATGTTACTGGTCACTACCGTGTAAAATAATTTAAAAGAAAAACAAAACAGTTAAATGGATAAACAAACAAGTAATTGATTGGTTACTAGCCAGTTATGATAACTGATCATCCATGTTGAAGTCTCAACCCATCTCTGTGAACACCAAATATTCAAACTGCTGAAAAATGCGCAGATTTCAGAGTCACACTTGACTGGGCATGATCAGTTATTACCTCTCCAATCACACTCATCCACCATAACGATCATATGCAGATCTTATCATGACTGTATGTCTTAAACCTGCATATAATATATATATAATCAGCATGACCAGTCACTAGAGATTATATGTCATTCCATATCGATATATCACTTTATTCCATTTTGGAGATATCAATTATTTATACGGAAAACAGGATAATGATAAAATTATTCTCCATCTGATTTCATACTTAACACTGCAAATGGTACAACTAGTTAGTATTGATATTCTTCATTCTCAGGGAATATGTTATAAATTTGCATAAACTATAGATCATTATCATATTGACTGAAGGATATCTATGCACTTCTAACTCTATCTTTTTCATTACTTGTATGGATCTTTTCTGCTTATAATGTAGATTTTTAAAAGGATTGGGTTTTTCGTTCAAAGTATTGCATTTTTCATCCTTACCCCACTGGACAAGGAAGTTTAATCAACCCACAAATTTATTGTACTGGTCAGTGTCTTCACCAAGATTTAAAAAGATGGCAGATTTAAAAAAGTTGGCAGTTGATAAAGAAAGTTAAAAAGACTTGATTTTGCTGTTATAAATTAATTCAAGAGAACATTGCCATTCTGTCATTTTTTCCTGTGTTTTATGATAATGTTGCTTGAGAAGAGTTATACAAATCAGGAAGCATGCTGTTTCTTTCAGATGCCTAAGTACCTCTCACACCCTGCAGACTGACTCAGACTCAAACTCAAAAGGATGGCTGAAAAACATCCTTCCTGTGAGAACCCTGCCTGCCAGCAAGGAGTCCCACTCCAGTCTTCTATCCAACAAGGAAACGGTGTATGAAATGCAGTGTAGGTTTGAAAACAAGAGCAAACATTAACCATAATGTATTTCATTGAATAAACAATGTTGCGTAAATACTGTCACCAAGAAAAACTTGGTAGTAAGAAATATTGTTTGAGAATAAGGTTATAAAACTTATGTTGTCTAATGTAAGTAAAGATAAACACAGCTTTTGAAGAACAACAGCTTCTTTCAAAATCTGTTGAACTTTTGACACATCAGTTCAGTTGACCTGTTGCCATGATGGAAAAAAAGATAATGTTACAAAACATGGTTGTAATCCTGTATGTTGGTGCAGTGGTTTCTTAATCACCTATTATATACATTTTGTAGTAATGAAACTCCAGTTTTCCTCCTTTAAAGAGTTTCCTCTAGGCCAACAAGATATTTAAAGATTTGTAAAACTTGTTCTATTATTGTCCTTAAATGTAGGTTTTCCTTGAAAAACATTTTTTTATTTTCAGTCCATGCTGTTAAGCCAGAGAATATGGAGGAGTACTTAAAACAGTTGTAAGTATAATTAGAAGGTTCCAATGAATTATGATAAGGTATGTTGTTATTGTTATATCCTATTCAATGAAAGTTTTGCTCAAGATTTTGCTTCTCATCCATCCTGAGAATGTAACTTTGATCAATTTGATAATTGCATTCATGTTATTGGTACAGAATATTATATGTATGATGTACTTAACTTTAGTCATTGCACATATTTTTTCAGTCAGTCATTTCAACAGTTGATGCACGATAAAGGCACAGGCGCAAAACTAATCGGTAGCTTCACAGTCGAGATAGGCGATCAGGACGAAGCAAGTAGGTTTGTGCAGCCAGGCACAAATTTTGTGATTTTGTCAACATTTTTTTATTCTTAATGTGAATTGCAAGATTTCATTAATTGTATTAACATGCTCTTAGTTGTCAATTCTTAAAATAGAAAAATGGTTTAAGGTATTCTATGGCTGAAAACAAAACATAGAAAATATCTTGACATGGAACACATGTTTTGCTTAAAACTCTTTGATAATTGAGACAGAAATCCTTTAGAATACAAATGATTTAGTCTCACAAAGAAAAAAATGTGATGTGATATTTACAAAAAGAATGTTATTTGCCATTTAGGTTTGCTTCTAACAAGAAACTAATTCTTAAAACATTAATTTTGTAGTGAATAAGTCAAGTAAGCATTTTTATGACACAAGAATTTAAAAAAAAAAAAAACATGTTTAAGGGATGGTGCAGCAGTCTGGGTGTAATTCCTCAAACAGATGTGGAAAGCTTTTGGGTCACTTGGCAGACCGAATTGGCTTTCCTGAGTACTTCAGTTTCCTCCTACAGTAAGACCCCTCCACATACTTCAATTCGGACCAACGCTCATGAGCTGATGATTTGTTTTTTAGAAGACAAAATTCCTTATTCTGTATTGCTGAATCACAATTAGGAGTTGTTGAATCAAAAGAGGTGTCTGTTTACAGTATATCAGACTTGATGGATTTGAGTTAACATTTGTTTTTTCTTCCAGTCCATATTTGGCAGTATCCTGGAGGATATCCGGTCCTGAACAAGGCAACAGAAATTTACAGAAAAGACAAAGTAAAATAAATTTGTTTACTATTGTGTTTCTCATATTTTCGGTTCATGGTATTGAAATAAGCATCTGTCAGTATCAGTTTTCACCATTTGTATACAGTTGTATCTGAGTCCAAGATTTAACATTTCTATTTTATGAAGAAAGAAAAATAAAAAATTTGTGTAATAGAAAGAGTTAATGAAGAAGTCAAAAGGACCTGTATTCCTCACCTGGCTTTGCTTGGCTGAAATAGCTTCATCAAAACTGAAGGAAAAGGAATTCTGAATAGCCAAGCACACATCACACAACTTAACTATTTTCCCATTGTACCCCAACCCATTCTTACAGAAGAAGGATTGTAAAGAATTTGGTCTATTTCCTCAACAGTGGGTCCTAGCCCTACTGCCCCAGGGTGTTGAGACCCATCATTTATTCAAACTTGATTCCCCTCCACCTGACAATGCTTCAGATCATATTTGGGAAAAATCCAGTCTTTCATATAGGAATAATGTTCCATTTCCTCTGCTCAGACCCTCCCACCCCAGAAGGCAGAAATCCAAAGTCAACAAAATTGATTCCTCTTCATAAAAGAATGCTTTTGGTAAACCCTGTGATTCCCACAGAAGAAGTAGGATTTGAAACAATTTGCTATATTTAATTTATTTGGCCCCATCTCTGTGGTCCGGGGGGTAGAGACCCAAGTTTTTACGATACTGATTCTTCTTCACTCAAAAATGTTTCAGACAAAATTTGGGCAAAATCCAAGCATTCCTACAGAAGTAGGATTTTAAAGAATTTGTATTACTTCCTTAATTTGGCTCTTTATTCCCAGGGGGCTGAGACCAATGGTTTATTCCAAGTTTGCCCCCTTTCATCAAGAAAATTTGGTCAAAATCCACTCCATCATTCATGACTAGTAATGATTTGTAGAAAAAGTTGACAAACGGACGACACATGCCTGTGGTAAGCTCAGTGGGCCTTCAGAGCAGGTGAGCTAAAGATGTCCTTCCTGCCACTAGGAATTACACTACTTGGTCCTAAGTCTCAATGATCCGACATTTTGCTAATAGGATCAAGTTCCCAATAGTTGAGTGTATGATGGCAGTTTGCACTAGTTATTTCTACATTAGTGTATATAAATGGAACTTACACTAGCATATATTGAGAGAATGTGGAGGAAAGCATTTGAAAGATACTGTTACATAATAGGTACTGAGAATGAGATATTAATTTTCACATTAGAGTTAAATTGTACGAATCTTTTCATATGGCAGCTGCAATGAAATACATATTTGGTACTGGATATCTCTTTCAGGATTTCATTGATTACCGTCTCCGAAGAAACAAAATGTTGAGATCAAGGAAAAACCAAATTTTGCTACCTTTCAGTTTCTGGCCAGAGCCAACCGCACGAAGTGGCAGCAATATCTACGAGATGAGGAGTTACACGTTAAAGGTATTTATACAGGGACGGATTCAGATGATATTGTACACTGGTAACAGTTTTAGAGCTCCAGAATGTGTTATCTACTTGTACTGTGCTGTTCTACTGATAAAAATGCTTTGTTCCTAATTAAACCCAGCTGCTACAACCACATTTGGATGGTATTATTGACATCATGAATACTGGTTTGCATAAATGGGTACATTTCTTCAAAAATTTTATAATTGTAGGTTTATAAATAAATGCTTCAAGGTTAATAAGCAATTTTTTATCTCCAAATTCTAAATTTTGAAAAAAAATTGAAAGGAAAAAGAAAAAATATGGAAAAAGAAAGCAAGATAATGCCATTTTAACATTGATGGTTTGATTTGTCAAAGATTTGGATTGATAGAAAGTTCCATATTTGATCGCTTGTGATTTGGTTTACAGCCTGGTACTATGATTGAGTGGGGAAACAACTGGTATGTATATCTTCTTTTAAAGCAAAGTTCGAAATAACTTCTACATGTTGCTTCAACAAGTACTTTTTAAAATATTAACTAATTACAGAAAAAAAGAAAATGTTGAAAAATACTGTAAACTGGTAGAAATCCTCTCCAAAGTGTCATTTATGAGTTGAATTTTTGAAAAAAAATCATCATTGGCTGTTTAAAATAAAATATACAATGAGGCAATGTTTTAAAATATAATGATACATGTACTTTGAATTTTTTTGTGAATCTCATTTAAATTGTGAATGTTTAATTTTCTGTCTTCATTACTGTATTCTTAATGAAAGGTTGAGGTTTCTAGGTACACTTTTGTATGGGATTATAAAATTGTTGAAGTTTAAGAGCTGATTAATTTTTTTTTCCGATTTGTTCAATTCTGTTTTTCTTCTCCTCACAAAAGTGAGGTTTTCTCTGTGCTAGTCATGAAGTGTCAATAAAAAACTGACAATAATCCTGATTCTTTGGCTGAATGCTTTGGTTTAATACTCCTCCTTTAAAATCATATTTTTAGAAAGTACCACTAAGGATAGCACTTAACTAGCATTTTATACACAATTACTTCACCATTCTTCCTGTTGTTTTTATTTTTGTTCAATTCGTGTGTCCTCTAGACTTTAAACAATGGAATTATATATAATGTAGTATTGCATTCCATCCACATCTCAAACAAGTTTTTTATAGAACAGGGTAACTTCTATCAGTGTTTACAAAATATGAATTACATTATTTATTAAGAAACAAAAAAACAAAAAAGAAATAAAAAAGATCAGAAAAGGTTACTGTTACTGACAGAGTTATTTTACTTACTCTATCTGCTAGATATTTGAAGTGGATTGCTGCTTATAAGTCACGATTGGCCTGTAATAACTGCTATAGCTAATGACAGGGTTGATCCACCATGATATCCCTGAATCTGTGCTCTGTGTGGTCAGTTGGCCTTTCTTTGCTTACAAATAGTGTGTGATGGTCATCAGTATTTATATATTAAACAAAATTCTTAACAAATAAACATGCAGCATGTGAAAAATATGAAATCTTTACAGAAGGTCAACATAAATTTCAGATTCAAGTAAACTTGTATATTTCTTTACTATAAAACTTGATTATAATGTCTGTATTTGTTCATGTGGCAGTAATTGATGGAAGGGACTTGTAGAAATATTGCTTTATGCTTTAAAATGTGCTTAAAGGTCAATATTTTTGAGGATAAAATTGAAAGATGAAGTTAGAAGTATGTTGTGATTAATATTTTAAGGGGACATACTGCTAATAAACTTTCAAATAAATTTGCTTTCCAAAAGAGTTTAATCCAAAGAAACCATGAATTCCATAGCCCTTTAGAAATAATGACTTAATAATTGTGATATGGTTTGAACTCATTTACAAAAATTAGGAATTATTTTTAAGAATTCATGTTTTGCCTTCATTGACATTTTTGAATATTACGAGTTTAATATAATCGTTACATGGTAAAAATCAGTATAAAATACAAAGCTCAAATATGAATTCTTAGTTCTGACCAAATTATAAGGATTACTGACAAGTTATGTGAATTTTTAAAGGGCTCGTGGTATAAAATCACGAGCAGATGAACCAGTGTGTGGCCTATTTTCACAAATGGGTGAACTGAATACCGTTCAGCATATATGGGGTAAGTTTTGGAAGGCATTATATTCCTGCCGGAGCACAGCGTTGACAGGCACTCCTGTCACCTGCCATACCTGCCTGAACACTGCGCTACGGTTATCTAACACTATCTACTGACTTTAGATACTGCCTGTCACCTAGCTGCTCCTCTGCCTTAACATGCAGAATTTCAGTGATTTTATTCCCCTTTTTGTTGGAAAGTAGCTAAATTTTAATGTATGGAAGTCAAGGGTGGGCTTATTACTAGACACAGGTTTATTGCCTAATGATTAATATAAGTTATCTTACATTGCAACTTTCAGAGAAACAAAAACCCCTTACATTGTAATTTCAGAGTAGCAAAAAGTCCTCATTGCTATTACTCTTTACTGTAAAGGCACTTGTAGAGAAAGGGGAAAAATTACTGAAATTATGCACATTCCTTAAGTTTTAGTGTTTGTTGCTGTGTTTTGTAAAGGAAAGTTTAATCCTTACAATTTTTGGCCTCCTGAAACAAAATAGTAGTTTCTGCTTTGTTTTCTTTATTTCTTCTTTGATTTTAAGACCTTCGTCTCAGAGAGTTTGTCTAAGATTGGTTAAGTAGCTATTTCATGAGGTAGCAAGTTTTCAGATAAAATTGTTGCATATGAATATTTCTTTTGGGTGTGATATACTTACGCAAATTTGGCAGGCGGAGAAGAAATTGCCAGAGCTAGTATGGATTGTTATGGACTTTCTGGAATCGCGAAAGATTTTTAAGTCTCAAAAGAAACATGGTTTACGATATGAATGAGACTTTTAATAAGAATTTTGATAAAGAAAAATTTCTGAAAATCTTCTATGAAGTAAAAAGTTATCTTAGTATCCAACACAAATTACATTTAAAAGAAATGAAAGCAGAAACAACTCATTTATGTTTGTGGCCTCCACTAAAAACAATCTTACAAAATGGTTGTGGTTTTCCCGTCTCCCTTACAACTACTTAAATCTGTGTCTTGATAACTTCAGAGAAGGCATGAGGAAACCTTGAAATATAACTAATATTATATTATTAGGTTTGCTTTTCAGGTATAAGGTATAAGGGAGCTGGCTGACTAGTTTATCATTGATGTGTATTATAAGTACATAATGAAGGTGTTGTCTGTGTATGTTTTATTATAAAGGGCTCGCGGGATAGAGAATCGACGCTCAAACAATGAGGCGGTTGCTGGTTTATTCACCCATTTAGGAGAACAATATGTGGTACATCATGTATGGGGTATGTCATCTTGTCAACAATTCAAATTATACATAACGGTGTGATACAACCAAATATTTCAAACCTTCTGAATCAGGCCACCTGTAAATTTCCCCTTATATAGAAATTTTAAATCTGAATTGCAGCAAATTATAACATAAGTACATTTTTATTTCTGAGGAACAGCAACAGGGTTTTTTTGTTTTGTTTTTGTTTTTGTTTTTTTTTTCTTTTTAATCCATCTTGGAACCAATGGAAGGTTGAGTGGCACAGTGGTAGTGCACTCGCCTTTAGCCTAGCCATTTTGGGTTGGATTCCCAGAACGGATGTTAAAAGGTATAGGATAACTTGCCCGACCACATGGGTTTTCTCTGGGTACTCCAGTTTCCTCCCCCAATAAGATTTCTTGCGCGCTTCAATCCAGGCCTACAAGAATGACTGATATGAGCTGATAACTTGCTTCGCAATTGTTGTAAAATAATAAAAAAAGTTCATATTTATATTCAATTATAATCCATCTTAATAGTTCTTTTGCCAAAGAAGACATTTATCTGAAATCTGAAATGCTTGGTTAATGAGATGTGTCTTCATATAAAGAACAGGGATTGAAAGAAATCACATAGAGTTATATCGTTGAAGATGGAACCAAAGTATTTGCAGAAGTCAGGCCTGATATTTTTAGTACAAAACTAATTTTTTGATAGTCTGTTATGATGTATTGTATTTTGCAGTTAAATGGTCATTGAATATAATTTTACAGTCTTTTATATCAACTCGATCATAGTCTTCACATTTTGTAATTAAAGTCAGAACTAAAAGATGAAAATCAATCACAACAAGTTCAGGATGATAAAGAGTAGTGTATTATTACTATATGTCTACCGGTTTCATACGAAGCATGTGGGCTTCATCAGGACCAACGGATATTATAATTAAAGTGATACATATGTAATGGATGTATGTAGATTTGTGTGTAGTTATTTCCCTTAGTTAGAAAGTGTTTATACATCCTGAAATATGATTTAGTCTTCAGTAAAATTAACAGTTTTAGTTTTGTTATAACCTATCATATTAACATTAATCTTTCACAAATTTTTGAAATTATGTTTTAAATTTGATAAAAAAAATGAAATTTGAATTTGAAGGTTTTTTGAATTCTTTAAATTACTTGTATTTTATTTTGGATTTATTTTCACATTAATATGTACAGAGAATCAACCCCAATTCTAATCCCTCACGATTATTTCCGTGTTGTTTCAGTATCTGAGTCCATACATCTGATGGTCCATCCTTTGTTCAGTCAACGTAATTTCTAGATCAATGTGAAATCATATACAGAAACAATCACTTGTGTCAAACACACTTGAGTCAAATACATTGGATAAGTCAAGTGTTTTGTTTGGTCATAAAATTTTCTCTTCTTTATCTTAGTAAATTAAACACAGATGATTTGAACACTGTTTAGTCGAATACTGTGTTTGTGTTGAATATATTTTGTGGTCCTTCCCTTCTAAATTCTACCACAAAAATTTCCTTTTTTGTGTCGGAACATGCAGGCGTCACCTTGTCTCATGTACAAATTTTCTGGCTTGGATCTAAATGACTTGATTGTGATCAGGCAGCCATTTCTGTGTTAACAAGCCCTTTTGTTGTTTTTGATTGAATATTAATCCCTATGTTGACACAGGTGCACAGTTGAAAGTGAGAATTTATACAGAATTAGGCAACCAAACTTAGAATACATCATAGTCTGTTATCCATAAATCTAATTTTTTTTCTATGCACATGGCTGGTAGAAACAAAATGAAAATCGATGCAGATTGATGGTAGTACTAGTTTGCCATTGACACACTTGTTTCTGGTTTTCAATACTTATACTGATGTACATGTACAAAGTGCAAGATTTATTTTATTCTATTTTACGGTGACACTCTTACAGTGCTGTACTTGTAGATTTAAAGTTACGCTTCAATGTTGTTGCCATGGCCTTCACCTTTGGTAACCGACCTCAGTGCTATCAATGTTATATCACTGTAGAATGTTCATGAGTTTTTATTTATTGAGTTTTATTTTCAAATATTGTTGACGGGACTTGTTACTCTTATAGATAGAAATGTGAATACAATACTGATATTACTTTAGCTATCAATTTCATTAAGTTATGTGTTTTAAAGCGAGTTCATATCTACACATGTGCTGCAATTCAATGACGACTGTATCGCATTTATAGTCATCGTGCTTTGTCCGTCGTTGTGGGCAGCGAGTCATGGGTAAACTTTTTCTTTAAAATCCTACTCCTCTTTCATACCTTGATGGATTTTAAACAAATTTGGTCTGATGCATCACTGGGTGAGGGTTATCATTTCTGAAAATGAGAATGTTGATTCAACCTCTAGGGGTTGAGGATGGGGCCCAAAAGAGGGAGGTGCTAAAATACCTCCTTTCTCCCTGAGTGGATATCAACAAGCTTTGGCTTGCTCCATCAGCAAGGGTTAGCAATTATTCCTTAATTGTAGAAATTTGATTTGACCCCTAGGAACCTAAGGGCTGAGCCCCAAAACGGAAAATAAGACAATACTTTACTTCAAAATGCTACTCCTTTTTAATGCTTCAATGGATTTCAACCAGATTTGGTCTGAAACATCAGAGTGGGGAATCATTTCTTAAATTCAGAAGCTCCAACTTCACTGTCAGAAAATAGGTAACACTTGTTACAGTTACCTACTCCTCACCAAAACTACCATATGTATCATGGAAAACAGCTTCTTTGTAAAATTTCATTCAAAGTAGAAAAAATAACCCTACTGAAAGTTTTTGTAGTCAGGTAACCATTGAGGTCCATTGGTTTTTTGTTGATCATAACATTGGTAGCGTCCCAATGGAAATAACTTTATAAGAATTATTAGTATAGGATGACAGTTTTGATGGTATGTATGTATTGACACTGGCTTACTATATTCAGTGTCACAATTTTTCGTTTCATGACACTTGATAAGTACCCTTTATATTCAATATTCCTTATTTCAGGTGAGCGTTAAGAACCACTAGGCCTCTTGTTATTTATTTATTATTCAATACTGTCGCGCCATACCATGCCTCTGTTCATAGAAACATTGCAAGTCGAACCATCGAATAAGTAAAATATTTCATTTGGTCTCTTCAACATATCCGTGTTTTACTGTATTTGCAAATATATCGGACGACTTAAGTTCTCAAAATACAATATTCACAAAATCTAAGTGATTTACAGTATTTTGGATTTCAATTAATGCTTCAATCTGTTTCAGGCCTTTTATGTAGATTTATTGGCCATGTTTACAGGCATTCACATTGTATATTGACATTTGGAATAAATTTCCTTGTACTTAAAGCAATCTCCCCCAAACACACTCACTCAACACACTCACCACATGCACTCACCTTGCATATATAGGGAGGACTTCTGGAAGTGGGATACAGGACGTTAAACAAGATGAAACTCTCTCTATGTACATTGACATGATTTAGGAATTTGATGATTGAAGATTGATTCTTTGCTAAAGAATTTTAATGCATGTTGACTAAGCTAATTGTGAATATCATATTAATAGTACAATTTGTAACATTCTTAGTTTAACAACATCAGTGTATACATGTTGCTCTTAAAGTTTGCAGTGTGAAAATTTTGTGGTTTATGTTATGGAACATTTTAGTATTCTTATCAAAGTGATATTGAAAATTTAGACTTCCTATCAGAATGATATCTAGAATTATGTATCCTTATCAAAATTATAATCAAAATTATGAATGCTTATCAGAATATTTAAAATTTAATATTTTTATCAGAATGATATTTAAAAATTTAAAGATTTAATGTTATAGACTTTTTATTAGAAAAGATTCTCTGCAAACATGTATATAGATGCTGTATAGTTGAGTTTGTCTTTGGTTTTGGTACAGATGACAATTGGACTGTAAAATTAAATGTTCAATTTACAACAATGATTTAATGTATGTACTTGTCCTTCCTGGAAATTTTCAATGGAGCATAAAGTTGTTGATTTGTCTGTTCATCATTCAATTCATTATTTTTTTGATTGGAGCATAACTTTGCTAAAAGTTAAGGAAGCTTGGTATATATATTGGTAATACAAATTGCAGAGTTATGGCCCTTTGTTAAAAGTTTGTATGCAGATCTCAAGGTTAGATTGCTTGCATTTATACTAGGATAATGAAACTTGGTGTGTACATTGATAATACTAAAGTGACTTGTGCTGTACCAAAGTCAGAGCCATAACCACTTAATTACAGAGTTATTGCCCTTTGTTAAAATTTTTCTGGGAGCTTGTATCAGTTTCACTGATACTTCTGTTATATTATCAAATAGTACATATCTTGTTAGTGAATTGTTTACCATGGTTACCTGTGTGCTGAACCATTTTGTTACAATTTATAATACCGTATTCGATCCAATAAGTGCCCAGGGTTCTTAAAAATTGCAATTTAGGGGGGCACTTATTAGAGACCATCTTAGATGTAAAAGAAACATATTCAGTACTAAAAAATCTACTGAACAGATCATTTATATAATCACTAGTTTTCTTACATGCAATAAAACCATCTTAGACCATCTCAGATATAAATATTTTTTACGTTTTTCTGGAGTACATCTCCTTATAAACCGACTTAAAACAATCCTTGATCGTAACTAAAAGGTAAGTAAATCTAGACTTTTAGATATCTGATGGGGGGAGGGGGTGCTTATAGGGACATGGGTGCTTATTGGGTCGAATACGGTATGTGGAATTTTTAAACATTATACCATCAAGAGTTACAATGTAAATTGTGATATTTCTTCTTATGCTCGATGTTTATTCCTTGTTTCACATTTTAATCCATAACACATTTCTTTAATTAGTATTCCAAATTAAGCCATTAGTGGTAACTACAAAGATGAGAAAAAAAATTAGCACTGAAAAGCATTTTAAACTTCTTTATCCTTTGAGTCAGTAAGTTCACCAGTCTGTAATTTGGAAATGAAGTATTTTCAATGTTTATTGTAATTCTATTTTTATTTTTTTGATGTTTGGAACAATGAAATATTATTTTTCGGTTTAAGTAAAACTTGAAATCCATTCGCCTGATTTCAACACATCATTTTATACTAATAAGTGTAGTACCCTACTTCTGACTTTGATTCAATGATAGCTGAGAAAATATCAGGAATGGAAATCTACAAAGCAAAAGGCACATACAAAATTAATTGTTTGTAATCTTTAACTGAAAATAACTGCTAAACATAACATCAGAAGAATTATATAAGGATTTGATTGGGTTGTAGGATACACTGATCTACAGACACGTAAGGACACGAGAGAACAGGCCTGGAGCAAACCGGGCTGGGATGAATGTGTTGCCTACACTGGTGAGTTTTTAAATCAGATATAATAATCCTGATAAAAAGTCAAGGTGTTGAAGTGTTACCTGTAATTCAGGTGGGCTGACACCAGGACTATGAAATATATGTACTACCATAGTACTACGATGCAGGCGATTTTACATAGCAGAAATACAGGATGATTTTACATAGCAGAAATACAGGATGATTTTACATAGCAGAAATACAGGATGATTTTACATAGCAGAAATACAGTGTAGATGTGGATGATTTTACATAGCAGAAATACAGTGTAGACGTGGGTGATTTTACATAGCAGAAATACAGTGTAGACGTGGGTGATTTTACATAGCAGAAATACAGTGTAGACGTGGGTGATTTTACATAGCAGAAATACAGTGTAGACGTGGATGATTTTACATAGCAGAAATACAGTGTAGACGTGGGTGATTTTACATAGCAGAAATACAGTGTAGACGTGGGTGATTTTACATAGCAGAAATACAGTGTAGATGTGGGTGATTTTACATAGCAGAAATACAGGATGATTTTACATAGCAGAAATACAGTGTAGATGTGGATGATTTTACATAGCAGAAATACAGTGTAGACGTGGGTGATTTTACATAGCAGAAATACAGTGTAGACGTGGGTGATTTTACATAGCAGAAATACAGTGTAGACGTGGGTGATTTTACATAGCAGAAATACAGTGTAGACGTGGGTGATTTTACATAGCAGAAATACAGTGTAGACGTGGATGATTTTACATAGCAGAAATACAGTGTAGACGTGGATGATTTTACATAGCAGAAATACAGTGTAGACGTGGATGATTTTACATAGCAGAAATACAGTGTAGACCTGGATGATTTTACATAGCAGAAATACAGTGTAGACGTGGATGATTTTACATAGCAGAAATACAGTGTAGACCATGCAGAAATACAGATTTTACATAGCAGAAATACAGTGTAGACGTGGATGATTTTACATAGCAGAAATACAGTGTAGACGTGGATGATTTTACATAGCAGAAATACAGTGTAGACGTGGGTGATTTTACATAGCAGAAATACATGTGGATGAATTTGTTTTCGGGCATCATCTGAGTTTGTATACGTTGATATGAAATAATTACAGAAAAAAGGACTGTTACAATATTTTCTTGATGTTATGGATCCACTGTCGAAACTGATCTACTGGGAATGACTGCCTTTAGTTATGGTTTTATCTATATTGATATACTGATAAATACATTGACAAGTATGCATTCCTAGGAAATTTATGCCCAGTAGCCCACAATATTATGACTGTGGGATGTTCAAATTGTCCTGACTCGCAACATCTTTAATACATTTGTTGTTCTGTCTTTCAACACTTCTTGTTATAACTGTTTTTTCTGGAGAAGTATTGGTTGATACAAAGATATGAGATGGACATTATTAAGTATTTTGTTCCTCGCTATTGGTGTTACCATATGGTTAATTCAATAGAAAATAAGATCCAAAAAATCAGCATTAATAAAGAGCTGTTTATTCTGTCTGATGATTATATTTTGTTTTATAATTTCCAGTGCCTCTCATTCGACACATGCAGTCAAGAATTTTGATACCAACTCCGTTTTCACCCCTGCAGTAGTAGCATGGCCGAAAGATACTCCACGGAGAAGGCCAGACTATCATTACCAACCTGCTTTCAGAGACTGTTGTACAGTTGTGAAATCGAATGTAGTTTCTTTTGAGTTCTTTGGATCATGAGATAAATTGCAGAATTATAGTCATAATTTGCCATATTACATGGTGAGCAAAGAATACTCCAGGTGATAGATGAAGGTCAACCTCCTTTTTTGACTTTGTGTGAAGAAACACTTGTTTTAATGAATCATGAATTCTTTTAGAAATGCATTTGACTCGGGTAAACATTTTGACCGTGTAAGAGAGACTTACACACTTATGATTGAAATACTGCTGACTATCTTTTAGTCTTAAAAAATCTAGTTTTGTTATCAATCAGTTTAACACAATACAATCTGCCAAGCAACATCTAAATTGTAAAAGTTGAGGACCTGTTTTACCTGATATCATAATTAGGGGGCTAACAAATGTTGATCATTGTAAAGTTACACAAACTAGTAGAACTTTCATTTGAAAAATTGAGAGATTTTTAATATTTCTATTACTTTTAGTCTCTATTGATGAAATATACTGATAATTTAAATGTCCAGTATCCTTTCTGGTAGTCTCTATTGATGAGATATACTGATAGTTCAAATGTCCAGTATCCTTTCTGGTAGTCTCTATTGATGAGATATACTGATAATTTAAATGCCCAGTATCCTTTCTGGTACCAAAATTTGAAATTATTTTCCACATCAAAACGTACATCCTTTCTCCATTCAATATTCTATTGCTGTCTGTTTTTCCTCTCTCTCTTTTGCAACATTTTCATCATACTTTTACTTGTATAAAGGGTTCTTTAGTATGGAAAATTTACTTTTGACATTTTCTTTACAAATATGATTGTCCACTTAACATTTATATGGACTTTATTCTTGCATTTAAATATTCATTGAATAAGTGATGAGGTAACATATTTGTACCAGATCAGCCATGCAGATTCTTTTAAAGTCTTCAGATTATTGAGGCATAATTATTTATCACAGATCTTTCTCTAACTACAGCATATGTCAAAGGTAATTCTTTGAAATTTTGAGATTTATTAGGGCTTCAATTTATTTTTATAAATAAATGTGTTAAGTAGGTGGGGGGGGGGGTGTTACTGAAAGAATGTTTATTAGTCTGATAGTGTGAACACTCATAATTCAGATATGTATTTAATATGTTTTGATATTTTTCAGAAGATCTTCGTGCATGTTTCTATCACAGCAGTTAGTATACCAATACAGACTCACTACAGTAATCAGTTTTGTAACATTTTTGATGATGGCAGAGTGTCTTTATGAAAGTCAGGGTGCTCAAGTTATCATTGAAAACATATATTAATGTAGAATGTTTGTATTAAAAATACAGATGTTTATCTGGGTTGTTTTGTCAATAGAATTTGTTGATACAAATCTTATAGTGGACAGATCTGAAAGAAAACTGGACTTTGAACCTCTCTTGTTAGTAACTGTTACCATGGCTGGTTACCGTGATAACAGTTCAGAGGTCATGGCCAAACTTTTTCAGTTCAATGATATACCAATATAACAAGAGAGGTGCTTTTTTTAAACTGTACTAGATGTTTTTTGTGCCAGAGAGTCCCAAAGTTTTCATTTTGTTAGCAAAGGGAAAAAACTCGTCCATTTATTTTCACAATCCCACAAAAAAATATTAAAGCATTATACATTTGTTTTTAGAACGTAAAACTTGAATTTTGTATTCCGAATAGGCATTTTTGAAACACAATGTTTGATAGATCAAGGTTTCAAGTCACAGGTATGTCAAATTATATAATGATGAAAATTGTAGCTTCATGAATTATTATTTCAAATTTGAATTTAGAAGTATGAAGTAGTGAAAAGTTTTTGAGAATCTACAGTCATGCTGAGACAAAATTAGAAAAAATCTCCCTAAGAAGAAAATTTCTGATTCCAAAACATCACACGGAAAAAGAAACAATTATTAAGGAAATGAAATATCATGATAAAGGTCGTACCCAATGATCTGAATTTTAGGGGAATACGAACTTTTGAGTAAATTAAAGCATTAAAACTTGTTATATTGTGTAGTGTTGTGTTGTTGTTTACTGAATATTGTAAAATTTCTTCCCAGAAAAACAGATGAGGAACTTGAATATAGATATATATGTATACTTGTAAATATGTTTACATGCTAATTTTATTGTGACCAACTTAAAAATATCACCACAAAACAAGTCAGATAGTTTGACCTTGACTTTGAGTCAAATGACCTTGACCACTGGTCCATGGAAACTTTCCTCCATTGATTCATAAATCTTTTCTCGTTTCTAGATACCTAAGTTTTAACAGTCACCTTAAGGATGTGTTCTTGCTGAATAACCATCTGAACCTTTTAAGAACTCATTCTTATGACTTTTAAAAGTTTGTCAACATCAAAGTATCTCTCACTACTGTTGTCAGTTTGGACAGGCGAAATTGGTGGGAATACTCCCAGCCAAACCATCTAAAGATAGCACATCGGGAAATCTGATATCGAAAGGTCACTAGATCCTAGATTTATGCAGAACATTGGAAAAATACACAAGTGTGTCATCAAAAATTGCTGCAGAGATTACAATCCTTTTACTCCATTAGGCTTATTTTCTGCTGATTTTACACAAATATTTCTTTCCATTAGCTTCCAACAACACAAACCTATCGTGACACAAGCAGGGCTGTGCAAATGTTTTTAAATCTATCTAGCTAGATAAATAATTTCCTCAAATTAAATAGCATATGTTTGTTTAAATGGTACACTGAGATGTACAGTTTCCAAAAGAATATAAGTAGATGATTTTGTACAGTTTTCTTCAAAAGCATCCTATGATATCCTGTGGAAAATATCCCTTCAATAATAGATTATTTATGTATATCACCATGTCAGATCAAATATAGAATGTTTAGGATGAGGACAAAAGTTTGACAAATAAACTGAAAACTGACAGACACATACAGAGGTGTACTTTTATGTGTTAGAGATAGGTAAACTTAATACAATGTACAAAAGGCACACAAATGAACAGCACATTTCAATACAACTTTGGAGTTAAATACGGAAGTCGAACAATGAATTAAACTACATCATACAGCTGTTTTGTCCTAGGACTCGTCAGTGATGCTACATCATAAAGCTGTTTTGTCCACCTAGGACTCATCAGTGATGCTACATCATACAGCTGTTTTGTCCACCTAGGACTCATCAGTGATGCTACATCATACAGCTGTTTTGTCCTAGGACTCATCAGTGATGCTACATCATACAGCTGTTTTGTCCACCTAGGACACATCAGTGATGCTACATCATACAGCTGTTTTGTCCACCTAGGACTCATCAGTGATGCTACATCATACAGCTGTTTTGTCCTAGGACTCATCAGTGATGCTACATCATACAGCTGTTTTGTCCACCTAGGACACATCAGTGATGCTACATCATACAGCTGTTTTGTCCTAGGACTCATCAGTGATGCTACATCATACAGCTGTTTTGTCCACCTAGGACTCATCAGTGATGCTACATCATACAGCTGTTTTGTCCTAGGACTCATCAGTGATGCTACATCATACAGCTGTTTTGTCCACCTAGGACACATCAGTGATGCTACATCATACAGCTGTTTTGTCCTAGGACTCATCAGTGATGCTACATCATACAGCTGTTTTGTCCACCTAGGACTCATCAGTGATGCTACATCATACAGCTGTTTTGTCCTAGGATTCATCAGTGATGCTACATCATACAGCTGTTTCGTCCTCCTAGGACTCATCAGTGATTTTCTACCATACAGCTGTTTCGTCCTCCTAGGACTCTTCAGTGATGCTACATCATACAGCTGTTTTGTCCTAGGACTCATCAGTGATGTTACATCATACAGCTGTTTTGTCCTAGGACTCATCAGTGATGCTACATCATACAGCTGTTTCATCCTCCTAGGACTCATCAGTGATGCTACATCATACAGCTGTTTTGTCCTAGGACTCATCAGTGATGCTACATCATACAGCAGTTTCGTCCTTGTAGGACTCATCAGTGATGCTACATCATACAGCTGTTTTGTCCTAGGACTCATCAGTGATGCTACATCATACAGCTGTTTTGTCCTAGGACTCATCAGTGATGCTACATCATACAGCTGTTTTGTCCTAGGACTCATCAGTGATGCTACATCATACAGCTGTTTTGTCCTAGGACTCATCAGTGATGCTACATCATACAGCTGTTTTGTCCTAGGACTCATCAGTGATGCTACATCATACAGCTGTTTCATCCTCCTAGGACTCATCAGTGATGCTACATCATACAGCTGTTTTGTCCTAGGACTCATCAGTGATGCTACATCATACAGCAGTTTCGTCCTTGTAGGACTCATCAGTGATGCTACATCATACAGCTGTTTTGTCCTAGGACTCATCAGTGATGCTACATCATACAGCTGTTTTGTCCTAGGACTCATCAGTGATGCTACATCATACAGCTGTTTTGTCCTAGGACTCATCAGTGATGCTACACCATACAGCTGTTTTGTCCTAGGACTCATCAGTGATGCTACATCATACAGCTGTTTTGTCCTAGGACTCATCAGTGATGCTACATCATACAGCTGTTTTGTCCTAGGACTCATCAGTGATGCTAAGGCCCTGAATTTTGAGGCCTCAGAGGCAACAGAGGAAAATCTGAAGTCAACCAACGAAAAGATGGGGCGATGAACTAGCCCCATAATTCAATAAGATTCATAATTTTCATATATCTGTTAATCTAAGAGTAGCATCCGTTACATATTCTGAACCGTGCCACAAGTATGTTTCTAAGATATGATTCTGTGTACACTCAACTCTCGTCATCAGTCTGAGGAAGGTATGGGGTGTAGTGATCTAAATGTCACACAATTTTCTCACTGATTGTGATATTACTTCTATTCTATGCTGATAATAACTCACCCGATCAAGGATGGAAATAAGAATTTGGCTAATCATTTGTTTCATACTTGCTATCGTAGACAACATATGAATGATCTTCTCTTCAGATCTTGAGATAACTGAACTTGTTTAGCCCTAAATCCTGACAAAGCCTAGATTCCGACTACACAGATTTCAGCTGCTCTTAAACCTTTCGATCTGTAGTAATTTGTTGCACACACTAATCAACTGAGGTTATATTCTATTCAGAAGGCATATGTATTCTATAATTCTGAAATCAATGACAAGTCTTGATAACACCTACAGGTATGAACTTACTGACATATTCTAAAATACAGCAAATTACTCAAGATATATTAAAGTATAGCAAAAATCAAACCTCTATTTGTGTAAATATTTAAGGTATCACACCATGTTTACTGACCAAAAGTCTATCACAAGCCTATTGGTAAACACAGATGGACAATTTTAGATGATTTCAAATCTCGGCTGAACCTCGTTAACTGATTCCACTGTATATCTTGGTACTGAAGGTGTAGCAATTCCAGAAAAACTTTTACAGGCAAAACATACTCAAGTTGTGGATAATTTTCGACAGTAATCTTGTCATTCAGCTCGATCCAGGCAGTTGGGCACTGAAAGCAAGGTCCACACATTTTTGTCACAGGGTATTAGAAACCCAGAGTGAGATCTGACCACCTTTTACTACTTCAGAAGAAATCTTTCGGTATTAGAAGTCTTTAGATTGTTTCTGAGGCCTATCGCAAATATACAGACATATGAAGTCGATCTGGTACAATACCAGAGATCCAAGGTCTTTCAGGTCTCTACAACAGATTTTGGTATGGGTGGAATATCCAGGAATGATGACACATTAGGTCTCAGCAATGGATGCAGCTGTAAAATATAAAAAGAAATTTAACAAATCTTAATTTTACCAACTGTCACAGTAACAATAAAATGCTGTGTTGATATAACTTAGCATCGGCTTGATTTGTGTGTCAAACAATAAAACCAGCAAGAAAAATGACAACAGAGATTGATTTTGAGTCTAATAGAGATCTAGCCATGCATGACAGTTTGAAAAACAGAAACTCTAAATATCACTGGTATTCAAAATCCTACTCGACCTAAGGACAAATAGCCGTATGTCTGTGGTCCATCATCCGTTTGTCCGTCTGTAAAGAATTATTGTATCATAAAGCACCTTAAGGCACTTTCATCCAGTGTCAGCATATTGAGAAGAAGATTTTTGAAATTTCAGGCAATCTGACCCATTTTGGGCCCTTCCCATTAGCCTCTAGGGGTCAACTGAGGTCAATATGTGCATATCATTAAAATTAATGATTCTGCAAAAATTAAGAGTGGGTCGATTTATGATCAGGGATTTATTTGGGGACAGTGCGTCAGTGAAAGAGGTGAGTATAGTGAAACTCGGGCTGTGAAATCCATTCACATTTTGCCGAGTTATCACAGGGAAACCAATTGGCCAATCAGAGTTGAAGTACAGAACCTTAGCAATCTTATGTGAATGTCACAAACAATGTTGATAGTCAGACTAATGCTGAAGGACAGTAAGATACATCTTCAAACCAAATTTGATTGAAATCTATTCACATTAAACAAAGTTATCATAAAGAAACTAAATTGGGACAGACAGAATGACGAATACTCCCAATTTAAACCCCCTTTTTCATTGGGAGGCCAAGCCTGAAAATATCCATCAGTCTGGAAAAAACTTTGGACTGACAACACTTACATCTGTTATTTCACTTTGTAAACTTTTCTCTCTCTTCTGTAACTCCTTCTCCATAGACTTGCACGATCTGCAGCAAAAAAAAATCAGACAGAATGAAGTTCAAAAAGACTATGAAGATCCTGTATAACATTTAAGGAACTGACATCAAACAAGCAAATATCATTTGACCCTAGAAGTAGCTCAGACATAAAAGTCCTACACAATCAAGCTTTCAGCAGTGAAATGTGAGACTTTACTTAGTCAATAACTTTTCCTTTCGGACACGCCCAAATTTTGAGAACCCATTATATCTACAAATAATGTAAATTTTGGAAATTGTGTTTTGGACATGCAAGAAAAATATCTTAATAAAGTAACATGTACTTGATAAGAGACTTAATTTTGACAAAAGATGGCTTATAGCAATATGATTGTACTTCTCTGCTTTTTCTACAGCCCTTTCCAGATCTTCCTCGTGTTCCAACATTTCAGATAATGATGAAGTGTAGCTCATCTACAACAGAGTAAACACAACAGCTGCGTCATCAGGATTTCAACTCTTCAACATAAATTATTGAAGACCACTAAGAATAATTCATACCCTTCCCAACAAAATCTATTAAAGATGAATGACTCACTCTGAAGAACTTGTTAACCTATCGCAAATATTTACAAATGGGTCTCCCCTTCCCAATTGTAAGGTTTTAAAATCTGCAATAATAATATCACCCCGGGACTCCAGGTTTTATTTCTAAAGGAAAAGGGCTATTCCAGTAAAACATCTATCTATCCTCCCCCCTCCGCCTCACCCCCAGCAATTCTGGTTTTCTTTCTAGATAAAATTTTATTCCAGTCAAACATCTATCTATCATCCCCCCTCCACCTCACCCCCAGCACTCCAGGTTTTCTTTCTAGATAAAATTTTATTCTAGTAAAACATCTATCTATCCTCCCCCTCCACCTCACCCCCAGCACTCCAGGATTTCTTTCTAGATCAAATTTTATTCCAGTCAAACATCTATCCCAACCCAGCAAACCAGGTTTTGTTACTGGATAAAATATTATTCCAGTAAAACCCCTATCCAACCCCAGCACTCCAGGTTTTCTTTCTAGATAAAATTGTATTCCAGTCAAACATCTATCCAACCCCAGCACTCCAGTTTTTGTTTCTGGGTAAATTAAGGGCTATCCCAGCCCAGGATTCAAGATTTTGGTAAAGGTAATATGGTACAATTTCATTTGTATAGAAAAGATTTTCATGAAATATTACCATAGTCCTGATGTCAAGTAGATATTTTGATAGAAAAATGCTAATTCAATACAGAGTGGTCTGAAATCATGAGATATACAAATGAAGGAGGCCTCTAACAGAATATAATGGATTTCTATTTCCAATATTAAAACCCATAAACCTAGTATGTACCAAGAGATATGGTTAGGTTGAAGAAGTTTTATAAAAGTTGATGGAAAAGACAGTGAGCTCATATTTGTATTTGATAAATAGTTTGATATTACTGATATATATATCCTCAGAAAATTTTACCAACAAATAGAACAAAGTATATAATAATGTAATTTGAAATATTTCTCAAATAGGTTCAAATTGTAACAACAAATAAAGTACAGGTTTTTTACAAAGGAAATATATACACAAATCTTCTATTAAAACCTACATTTAAGTTCTGCAGACCCTTGTAAGTAGTACCGAAAGTGTGATGCGGTACCCTCATTTCTTTCCACTTCGTCACCAATCTGTAAAACAAAACACATCATAAAATTATATCAGTATCACAACAGAGAGTGGTTAACAAGCTATATCAAACTGACTGCCTGACAATGAGACAACGAAAAACCACCAAAAATAAAACAAAGGACATTTACATACATTATATATCTAGGTCTTTTACATTGGAAAGTTTTTGTGGAAACAGGGTTACATTTTAACACAGAAAATATTCCAAAAGATTTGTTTAATTAATCAGCTCAGATCAGAGATATACAGAATTACAAATGGAAATGGACATCAACAATCAGGATAATGTATACAGCGACTATAAACAAGGTTTTATATCAAAAAGACTTCCTGATGATGGGACAGTGCAAAAGTCAAGAAAATCAAAAAGGACGTTTTACAAATGACTATGATTATTACATACAAAGTGAGAAAGCTTAGAAGGAAACTAAACAACAATTTAAGGCAAAAACATCCCAAACAAGTGGCCTAGTGGCCTTGATAATATTGAATATGAAGGTTAAAGGACAGTTATAAAGTGTCATGAAACAGAAATTGCGACACTGAATATAGTAAGCCAGTGTCAATACATACATACCATCAAAACTGTCATCCTATACTAATAATTCTTATGAAGTTATTTCAGTTGGGGGAAATAACCAACATTATGCTAAAAAATGCAATTTTTCTATCAAAATTTCAAGATAAGGTAAGTAAAGTAAAAAAAAAAAATTCCTCTCCAGGAGGAAATGTGAGACTCATTTTGGTAATTAAAGCATCTTAAGATGCTTTTAATCATGAAGAGCATTTGATTCTACCATATCTGGGTGTTTTTTGGGATTTTTTAAATTTAAGTCAATTTGACCCCTTTTGGCCACGCCCATCAGCTCCTGGGGGTCAGTCAGGATCAAATGGGCATATGTCAAGCTGTCATCCTTCAATTATAATTCTAACCAAGTTTGAAATATTTCCAATGGAAATTCAACAAATCATGCTCAAAAATCTAGTTTTCCTACATAAACTACAGTAAATTTTACCCCTACCCACGGGGAAATGTGTGACCCTGGGGCTATGAAATTCACAATTTTGGTAAAGCACCTTAAGATGATTCCATCCATAAAAAAGTATTTCATTCTACCATATCTCAGTGTTGAGAAGATTTTTTAACTTAAAGTCAATATGAACAACTTTTGGCCCCGCTCCTCAAGCCCCTGAGGGTTCGGGACTGTATAAATCACAATCCTGGTTTATCTTAGGCTTTCAGGGAAGCTTTCCTCAAAATATCATTGAAATTGGATCAGGGGATTCTGGGAAGATGATGAGTATTAGAATAGGTCACCATGAGACTTTGTCTCAGGTGACCTAAAAAGGTGTTTTATTAACAGGCAATTCCATATCACAGATAATATGTCAATTTTCACCTAAAAATGGAAACTGACACGGGTTTATCAAGTCTTCAAAGATGAAGCATGTTTAGTATATAATAACATAACATACCTGATTCTGCATTCCATGAGATGGTCGTTGATCTTCGAATACTGATCTGTTTTAATATTGGTAGTGACTGAGCTGCAAATGAGTATAAATATGAAAATCAAACTACAACACTTAAGAAATAATTTAATTAATATTCCATTCTATTTATCAGTCTTGCTGAACTGGATATGGCAGCAGTTAAAGAGAGGTTTTAATATTTGAGAGTAAGGGAGCAAAGGGGGACAATCCTTGTGTAATCTGGCAGTTGGAGTGCTTCTATCTTTTCACTAAGGAAATTTAAACAGTGAAATATACATGTACTTTTATGCAGGAAACTTCATTATCTATTGTGAATTATGTTTGATGGGTTCCTCTAACAAATGTAATCCATGTTTAATATATCCATATCTTCTCAAAATACCGATATTTCAACATAAGTATTTAATAGAATTGTAAATTGTATCCTTTCAAAGAGTGATAAACTTTATACACATGACATTTCTATCCATCAGGGAAAAAATTAGAAGAAAGTCATTTAAATGATTTAGACAATTGATTTCCACAATAAAAAAAAAAGTCAACTAAAATCAAATTCAAATGACAACTTTAAAATGGACTTTTTTTCAACATTCATAGTAAACATCTTACAAAACTCTCTAATGCAACAATACACTTTGGGTCAAGGACACTTCCGATTGTAAATTCAATACTACTTTATTTGAAATTTGCTTTCTCCAGAATCGAAATAATCTGTTTTAGTGATGTTTCACATATGGGGTAACCTGCTCGAACATATGGGTTTTCCGCAGGTACTCCAGTTTCCTCCCACACTAAGACCCCTTGCGCACTTCAATCCGAAACAACAAGAGTGATTAATATAAGTTGGAAAAACTTGTTTCGCAATGGTTATAAAATAAATAAAGTTTATTATCATATCTTAAATAGGGTAAGGCTTATTACAAGGTAATGATTTTTATATGTAACAGAAAGAAATGAAAACTCTGTAAGACTATAGATAGCCTGTGGCTTCACATACTGTAATCAGATTCTGCTTCATTTGATAAAATTCACATATTTTGGCTTGTAGAAACAGTATTTTTTCAATAAAGACAAGAGTGCCGTGGACACAATATACGCTGCCACAAAATATAAAGATCAAGATTGGTCCTTTTAATTATTGCTTTTAACATGTCTATATACATAAGCTCAAAATGAAGTCTGTGAGACCAGTTAGCTTAGCTGTAAGAGACAGGGACCCGAGATCATAAATGGCATAAATCTTACAAAAATCAACGAACCAAAAATTTGCCCCTTCATGCACATCTACCCATTGTAGTAGTGACATTGAGCAAGTTTCATGAAAGTCTGATGATTAGTTTAGGAGGAGTTGGGTTCACGAGAAATGAACGGACGGACGGATGTACGGATGTATGGACGGACGCCCGGAGATGACGCCAATATACGACCGCCTCTGGCGGTGTATAAAAAAAATTCACATTTCCTCTGTTCCACTGTCTCTGCCAAGTGAAGTCACACTGTATTATACAGTAGCTGTGAAATTCAACCTTCTGTAGTACAAAGGTACATACTAACAAGTAAAACCAATTACTTCGCTCCAGTTTATACCTGATTCCTTCATCCAGGACACCAATAAGGAAAGCTTCAGTGGATTTCTCCATCGCCTTCCATTTATTAATTTCATTGTCTGGAAAGTGTTTGGTAGTCAGATCTGAAACAACACTTGTGTATTATTATATAAACTGAATTATGACACGTTTTTAAAGATGTACAAGATAGATTATCCAATCAGTAACAAAGCTGATGTATGAACCTGATGCCCCGTACTTCTATACTGTCTCTAAAGTTAAACATTAGACAAATTACTAGAAATAGGATGACATGCAGAGCTGTATATCACCAGATGTGCAGAATCACTACACCTGTTCTGGTAGGGGGGAAAAAAACACATTTTTTCCTTTCTGTTTATCCTGAAAATTAAAGACTTTTACTGAAGATGGAAGACTAAATAATAATTTGTATAATATGATAAATTCTCCCAAACATATCAGACTATTTATGTAAATACTGTGTACACGTATAAACAAGAAGTTTTACATAGATTCTAGACATGACATCAATTGGGCAAACTGGCATAGGGCGATGGGAGAGTTTTTGAGACATTTAGACATGCCCTCTCTGACAATAAAATAAAAATTAGAAAAGAATGGGACAATTTTATAAAGGAAATTCTGAGACTTTGTTACATTTAGAGGAAATGTCTTTTAATTGAAGGCCCAAATGTTCAAACCCTCATGAAAAACAGTGCTACACCAAAATGATCCAAGTGAACATTTTAAACAATTCCAACAACCCTCCACTTCCTCAGACAGTAACTCTATACCTGATAAAGGCCCTAGTCCTTTCCCAATTATGAACAACATCTCTATTTATGTCAATGGCATCCTCAAGCTCTTAAAAAAACATTAACGCATATGAAGCCTCTGGTCCTGACAAAATCCATAGACAAATACTCGAACAATCTGCAGAATACATTGTACCTATCCTGTCTTTCAAACATCTGACTGGAACTGTCCCACGTGACGGGAACCATACTAGTGTCTGTCTTGTATACACGGTTTTTTGGCCCTCATGTTCCTGTGAATTCCAGCTCATTTTCTTATACAAGATTTGGCCTCTTCAAATGACAAAAATAAATGTACACATTATCATCATGGACTTCGCTAAAGCTTTCCACAGGTATCCCATCCACCTCTGCTCTACAAACTTCATTTCTATGGCATCAAATCAAACACTCACGAATGGATGACTTCCTTTCTTTCAAACTGAACAAAGTCTATCTGTTCTCTCAAACAGAACATAGTCTGTCTTTTCTCTCAAACAGAACAAAGTCTGTCTTTTCTCTCAAACAGAACACAGTCTGTCTTTTCTCTCAAACAGAACACAGTCTGTCTTTTCTCTCAAACAGAACACAGTCTGTCTTTTCTCTCAAACAGAACACAGTCTGTCTTTCATTCAAACAGAACAGTCTGCCTTTTCTCTCAAACAGAACATAGTCTGTCTTTTCTCTCAAACAGATCACAGGCTGTCTTTTCTCTCAAACAGAACACAGTCTTTTCCACCTCAAATTTACATTTTACATGGTCATGTTTTAGAGATAACAAAATCTACAAAGTATCTGGGTGTCACTGTACAGTCTAATCTGAAACGACACCTGCACATAAAGTCCATTACATCTAAAGCAAATTAATCACTCGGCTTCCCTCGATGAAATTTAAAAGTAAACTCTCCACATGTTAAAGGCCATGCTTATAAAACCCTGGTACGTCCTTAGGTAGAATATAGCACAAGAGTCTGGGATCCACACACTACATTACAGATAAACCAGACAGAAAATGTCAAACTGTCAGATACATGTGTAATAATTACCACAAGTTTCACCAACATGATTGAATCTCTACATTAGCCAGCACTTCACATTCGCTGCTTGCAAAACAGACTTATTATGAACTACGAAATAGTACATGACCTTAAGTTTGTCGCACTTCATCCTGAAAATCTTTTCTCTGTCGACCCACTCGTTCAAGCCATCACAACCCATATGCTTTCAGACACAAATTTCTGCAGACTGCTATAAACACTCATTCTTTCCAAAATTTATCACACAATGGAACTTGCTCTCCCAGTCTTTGGTTTCTGCCGACACCTTCAAATCACCTGTCACAGTGTCATACCTATCTTACCTTTAAAACTTCAACTCTTCTTATCGCAAAAAAAAATATATCTTTTTAACCAATGCCTTGAGACTAATTGTCAGAATTGACGGCCACCAAGCACTAATACTACGAAGATTGCTCAAACACCTATTGACTGCAGTGTAATTATGTGCCAAAAAAATACAGGTAATTCACACGCCTAGACTACTAGCTCAGTATAACGGCTGTAGTAAACACCTTATATAATAAACAAATAACATAACGGACGACAGATTTGTTACACGACGTTACTATTACATTGCGACTCCGGTTATAGATTTCTCGCTGTGTAAACCTCAAAGTTTTTTTCTAGTAGATCTAGCCCAGCTATTAAAGTTGGAAGATTCTTTCGGCTGGACCATCAATGGAAGTTCCAGAGAGATGATACCGAGGTCTCGAGACTATCGGTTTTGAGACCGACAACAATTTCGTTATTGACAGGGATGCAGGTGTCATGACAGAGGAAACATTTTAACTTTAACGAGTAGGCACAAACCTGAATAACGAGGAACAGATTTCTTCTTCTTCTTTGGTGGCATATTATATATCACTTGAGAATCTAAATCTGTCAAATGTCCCGCCGGTTTATGTTATCCGTGTTAAAAGGTTTGACGATTCACAAGATCGGGCAGGATCGGGCAGAATCGGTGTAGAAAAGTGCCGTTTTAATGATTTTAATGTGTTTTCACAAGATTTGCAAAATTTCCATGGTTTTTCAAAAAAACTATTTCCTTGACATTTGATTTTGTGGCAAAAATACACAATTTGCAGGAAAACCATAATATTATAATTCACTGCCGAAAGTGGCATATATTAGTTGATAGTAACTGTATTAACAAGATTAGCACAGCATTCATTCTGAAGTAAATATTTGTCGGTTTATAATCAAATTAATAACAGTACACAGTTTCCTCGACCAAAGACTAGAACAAGATCCAGATTTTCTGCGGTATAGAGACATACAGAACACCTATACGACTCCATATGTAATGTGGAAAATACCAAAAACTTCAAAAGATTTCTCAATAATCAAGTTTGTCTGTAAGATGGTCACGTGTTTCCCTACGTGGTCAGAAGAGCAGTGTGTACTATGTAATACGCTCTATATAGATCATATTTAACATTATGTAACTGTTTGTCGGGATACAGCTGGCATTCGGGATGTATACATGACATTGATAACAGACAAATACGGTATACCATTATTTCTCTATTTAGATAACGTCATGCACGAAAATTTCCTCAGGACAATTCCTGGAAAACCTATTCCAAGAGACATATTAGAAAGCGTTGAAGAATACCATCAATTTCTTATGGACAGTGCTAAATTCGTAAGACGTGCAGCTCACACATTTTTATCAAAATGAAATACACAATAATTACAGGGACGTCTGATAATTATGTGCCATGAAAGTAAAGTGTTTACTAAGTAGATAACTGTGCGGACTCATCACGCTAAAATGACGGATCAAATGTAAAACTTTTTTGTCTACTTTTTCTATTTTCTTTTGTAAATCTCTTATATGAGGAACAAAAGATTTGATTTGAACAATTTTGGCGTGGAACGTCCTCATGGAGCAACCTGACCCTCGGGAAGTGCCCTGTAACGTAGGTAGCGTCGGCTTACTCCCATTTCGCCTTAGCTGTCAATTTCACGGTAAAAAATTATTCCCATTTCGCCTTAGTGCCAAAACCAGGTAGGAAGAAGTCAGCTAAGGCGAAATGGAACTTTGTATATACAAATTAATGAAGTCAAGTAATTCATTTAATAATGTTTATTTAGCTATATACTAGTATTCTTCTTGCAATGTCATCAATACAAACATAATAAACATTATACATATATAATATATATTGATACAGACAAGTATACATTTCATGCAACACAATCTTATAGTTGAGCACTATCAATCTTATCATATCAATCATTTAAATCAAGCACTAATGTTCAAAAGGTTCTCTGCTTCAATAGGATATAATAAATAGTCCTAACATGATTCAAATTAAGCACTATAAATGTCACAACACTGTATAACTAGTCACGGAGTTTCAGAATGTAGGATGCTGCGTCTTCATACTGGATGAAGTCTTTGGTCCCATTCATTAGACCAGTCTTTAGGTTTGCTAGACGTTCTTGTACTTCTCTGTACTTCCTTGCTTTTTTTCGTCTATGTCCGCCTGCTGCATATTGGATTATCTTCGCCTAGGTAGCTGCTTGCAGTCACTGGAACTTCTCGATGATGTTGTAGATGTTGGGATGTGCTGTCTTTAATCTCTTCTTTAGTTTATTGTACTCTGGGCATGCCATGGAGTAGTACGGAGTTTGGATATTTCTTCATCATATATGGCTGGTAGTGGACGAAGTTCGTTTTTAGCTCTTGTTCGTACGTTGTTCATAATCTTCTTGCCTTCTACTGCTGCCCGGTCTGGTAGATGATTGTGAACCTGGCCAATCTTTGTGGGTATGTCATCCCGGGTGCATAATTTTGCAGTTTTTCTCGGTACACTACCAGGACATCCACGTGTCCCTCTTGTTGTTCTGGCGATATATAAAGCCATTCCATACAAGATGTCTTCCAAATCTGTTAGTCTCTAAAAAGTCTTCATGTAGCATAACTCCTGTCATGATGATTGTGAAACTGATACTTTAGCATACTGGTAAAGGTCTTTTATATATAACATGTAAGCTGAAATGAGGAGTTATTCCAAGCTGAATCTCGGTAAGTCTAGTGTTAGTCCAAGCTGTTACTTCTAGGGTGAACAGATCATTCAGTCTGTAAAAATCTACTATGAATATTTTTGCATACATATATCCCTACTATCTAAAACTATAACAAAAAATATAAGTTGCTTATAAACATACATTTCAAAGAAAAACTAAGTCTTTAAAATATGATTTGTTCCTCTGAATTATAAAAGAAATAAGAAATAAATTCAATATTCATCTAAATATATTTAATTGATTTAGTGTTAGAATGTACAAGTTCCAATACAAAATGTAGTTATTTTTATTTTTTTCAATGTGAAAAATGTAATAGTTATTTTTATTTCTTCATATATATTTTACATATTATATATATCAAATCTATATGGCCTTTGACCTTTGGTCAATTATAATTAAGATTTAACTGTAGAATGAGTTATTGTTAAAACAACAACCGCTGCATGTAATTGGTTTGTTTATCTTTCCACACTTTTCCTAAATTCCCACTTTGCTTTAGCCCAATTCCCATTTCGCCTTAGCACATTTTCACCTGTGTTATACCAAAATATGTAACTAAGGCGAAATGGGAACACACCGTAGCGTCAGCACCTTCTAACATCTGTTCACAGAAGTTCAGCTTTTTGAGCGGCAAGGGTTATCGTTATTTTTACTTATGTGCGCTGACGAGATAGTGCTGTTCTCGAAAAATGTTTATGGTCTACAGCATATGTAAAACTGTTTACTGTCATATACTAAGAAATGGTCTCTGTCAGTTAACGTTGAGCAAACGAAAACTGTGATAGTTAGAAAGTCTGCAGTTCTGATGAAGTGAAACACAATTTTGATGGAAAGTTTAACCTTACGTAGAAGCAATTGTCTGCACAGTATAAGAAAGCTCATTTTTCTCTTAAGCGGTCACAGCATAGGAAAGCTCATTATTCTCTTAAGCGGTCACAGTGTAGGAAAGCTCACTGTTCTCGTAAGCGGTCACAGTGTAGGAAAGTTCAGTGTTCTCTTAAGCGGTCACAGCATAGGAAAGCTCATTATTCTCTTAAGCGGTCACAGTGTAGGAAAGCTCACTGTTCTCTTAAGCGGTCACAGTGTAGGAAAGTTCAGTGTTCTCTTAAGCGGTCACAGTGTAGGAAAGTTCAGTGTTCTCTTAAGCGGTCACAGTGTAGGAAAGCTCTCGTAAGCGGTCACAGTGTAGGAAAGTTCAAGTGTTCTCTTTCTCGTAAGCGGTCACAGTGTAGGAAAGTTCAGTGTTCTCTTAAGCGGTCACAGTGTAGGAAAGGCTCTTAAGCGGTCACTGTGTAGGAAAGCTCACTGTTCTCTTAAGCGGTCACAGTGTAGGCAAGTTCAGTGTTCTCTTAAGCGGTGTTCTCTTAAGCGGTCACAGTGTAGGAAAGTTCAGTGTTCTCTTAAGCGGTCACAGTGTAGGAAAGTTCACTGTTCTCTTAAGCGGTCACAGTGTAGGAAAGTTCACTGTTCTCGTAAGCGGTCACAGTGTAGGAAAGCTCACTGTTCTCTTAAGCGGTCACAGTGTAGGAAAGTTCAGTGTTCTCTTAAGCGGTCACAGTGTAGGAAAGCTCACTGTTCTCGTAAGCGGTCACTGTGTAGGAAAGTTCAGTGTTCTCGTAAGCGGTCACTGTGTAGGCAAGTTCAGTGTTCTCTTAAGCGGTCACTGTGTAGGAAAGCTCACTGTTCTCGTAAGCGGTCACTGTGTAGGCAAGTTCAGTGTTCTCGTTCTCTGTGTAAGCGGTTCACACTGTGTAGGAAAGCTTGTTCTCTTACGGTCACAGTTCTCTGTTCTCGTAAGCGGTCACTGTGTAGGAAAGCTCACTGTTCTCTTAAGCGGTCACAGTGTAGGAAAGCTCACTGTTCTCTTAAGAAGTCACAGTGTAGGCAAGTTCAGTGTTCTCTTAAGCGGTCACAGTGTAGGAAAGTTCAGTGTTCTCTTAAGCGGTCACTGTGTAGGAAGGCTCACTGTTCTCTTAAGCGGTCACAGTGTAGGAAAGTTCAGTGTTCTCTTAAGCGGTCACAGTGTAGGAAGGCTCACTGTTCTCTTAAGCGGTCACAGTGTAGGAAAGTTCAGTGTTCTCTTAAGCGGTCACAGTGTATTAAAGCTCACTATTCTCTGTTTTATTTTTGTACCTTGTTGTCACTTGTTTATACTCAGTAAGGTGTAAGGCTTTTCATAAAGCACTTGAAATGGAATTACTCCATCTAGATTTCTACAAGAATATTTTAGGAGTAAGATGATCAACTCCGAACGCAATGGGTTTTTTTAATAAGGCAGATTTCATTTTAATTTCATTTATCATAAAAAGATTTAAGTATTGGTGCAAATTATTAAATTCACGCAATTGTATACTAACCATATGTACATGGAGTGTGGAGCAAACCCACGCTGTAGATACTGGTTGATAGACATTACAGACGACTCCATAACAATGTGATTGTAACTGTATGATAAAGTGACACGTTTTTTTCACTAGTAGGACATATAAGCCCACTCGTCCCATATAAACTGGGGTTGTTGAATCGTTACTCTGGAATACATGTATTTTCAAGACTACTTTGAATTTTAAAGTTTAAATCAAATTCGTCGCCGATTATACCAACAACATAAGCAGTCACATACTTGGAAGGTTTGCTGCCTTTCCCTTATTTCTTCCCTTATTTCTTCCCTCTATTTTAATTTCCTTTTCCTTTTTTGTTTCTTTCTCTTTCTTTTCTTTATACTGCTAGATCTTCATCCTCCTACCTTTAAAAAAAAAAACAAAAACAACAATGTTTATAAGTTTTGGAGTGAATATGAAATTATGGTGTATGGATGGAAATTTGCGAGTAATGTACTGGATGA